ACTCGAAAAGTGACCGGTTGGAGGGATTAAGGTTGGGAGGCACCGATAATCGATCACCAAGGAGGTTAACTAGAGCTAGTAGTATCTCGGCGCTATGTCTGACAGAGGGATTGCTACGGGGGAGGTTGGATAGATGAAGGCATTAGCATTATCGCCACTAACAGTGCAGTCTAATCCATCGGTTGATTTTAGGCATAATGCTTCTTCCCAATCGATCTCAAAAGTTACTTGAAGGTTGGATATGCAAATCGTGTCTTTTACTTGCAGTATAATTGAGCTCTAACTAGCTCTCTGTGCGCACAATAAATGTTCAAACACGAGAAGTCCGTGCCACAGGGAATGAGCATGCGGATTTGGTTTATTTGTATCATTGCATTGGAATCGAGCTCGAGACGATCTTTCTGTTCTAGATCTGAAGCATGTAGTTTGTAAATTCGAAGCTCCTCAAACATAACAAGTTAATTAAGCTATGCATATATGCGAATCGATGGGCGTCTACTGGATCAATATGTTTGTTTACGTGCAGTATGCAATGTCTTCAGCCCTGGGGCGAAGGGAAGGAACAAAATGTAATTTAAATCTTCAGTTCTAAAGGCACAGGATGCAAGTATGTAGTTACGAAGTGGTCAGATCTGATATCAGCGGGCATAATCGATATCTGCAAGTCATCTCGATTAGGATGTGCAAGCGGGTTTTTTTAAATAAAAAATAAAAAATAAAAAATAATCTATCTTTCGTTTTCTATGTTTTTTTGGATTCTGCCTTTCTTTCTGATGCGGATCTAAAGCTAGCCAGCCGAACCGCGCTTTCTTAAAGGTTGCGTTTCTGTGTGGCATGAACTTTCGCTGCAGGTCATGCATGGCTTATATTCATGGTCCCCTATACGTCTACGAATCTTATCCTAAGAAGGTATGGGAATGCGGTTTCTTGTAAGCGCAAAAGAGGAAGCACACAGAACAGCGCTTGTCAAACTTTCGAATCCGGACTTTAGACCTGTTGGTAAGTCTGCCATGGAGGATATACCCGTGACGGTACAGAATTAATAACATTAACTAGTTGATTTGTTAACGTTAGGTTGCAACTGTTGTCTATTTCGCCACAGCATAATCCGTGACTTCATGAATGTTTACGATGGTTTGATCGCACAGCAATGGAACCCGTTGGAGAGGAATTCTGGGACGTTGGGCGATATGGAACGAAGACTACGATGTATGCAAGTACCTACCTAAGTACGGAGAACCTGGCTTCCATGCATTCGTCGAGCTCAATCGCTAACATTTACAGACATGTATGAATGAAGTCAACCCAGGGAGACATTTTCGATTCGTTTCTCATTTTCCGATTGCATCGGCCCTGGTCAGCAGCACCATGGTATCCCTGAAATCCACGCAAATGCAAACCAAAAATTTGCGGGAAAAAACCCACCGGTCGCGACGGTTGACTCGACTGTGACGATGGAGCAACGTTCGATTCAGAATCAAATCAGAATAGAGAAGGCCCACAAGTGGAGAGCAAGCAGGATGATCCATACACGCAAATTTACGTGGTGGAAACTAACCCCCAATCGAGATGTTCGCCCCCAGTGCAGAGGACTGGATACTCGGGGGGCCATGGCCAGGCCAGGCCAGGCTCCAACCAGGGCCAAGCCAGGAGGCCGCAGACATGCACATACCAGCCCCAATGACGGCTGCCCAAGTCTCGTGCATCCTGTGGCAGCTTGCACCCCGTAATTTCAGAAATCGGCACTAGTACCGTAAGAAATGATTACATCGAAATATGGAACAATGCTCGCTGTTCAGGATAGTGCATGCTTTCCCAGGCCAGTAGCAAGAGCAAGAAACTGGATCATCCAATCTCACTTTACTTTTTCTCTCTCTTGTCTCGTTTTCCTCCCACTCTGCTTCGGGCTTTGCTTTTACTACCACTTTTACTTTTTATGTACTTTTTACTTTTTAGACTTAGTTATTGATTGATTGATTGACCGATTTGATTGATTTGATTGAAAAGAGATAAAAAGAGTATCCTCAAAAAAGTATTTATCGATTGCAGCTCCCTGCTCTTGGAAGCCTTCCTCTCACACTCTCCTCTCACTCTCACTCACTTTCTTTCTATATATATATAACATCAACATCATCCGCTCTCTCTGAATACCTTCAATACCTTCAATACCGATATCAATAGGATATAGCTAAAATAAAAATAAAAATAAACAAAAAGAAGCATCTGCATCGACTTTTGTGTCTGGAGTCTCGACCCTTTTCGACCCATTTTTTTCCAAAACGTTGAAAAAAAACACAACTCTCCTTTCCCTAAAACATCACCACTCCAACAGTATCTTGAATCGAAACACTTCGACACGCAACCTTAAGAAAACTACAACTCTCCTAATTAAAACCTATTAATATAACGAATTCCTTTGCCTCTCTAATAAACTCACAAAGTCTACTTCGCCTTCTTGCAACCGTTTCCGAGTTTTGTTTCATCTATCGACAGCATAGCATTGGCATAGCATCTTGTGTTCGTTCTGGCATATATAAATTCTTGACGATAATTTATCTTTTCTCAGCCTTATCCACCACCACCACCACCACCACCACCATCATCGCTGCTACCTATCTGCATAAGACATCTCAGCCCTTCTTCTTATTTTTACCTCTTTCTGCCTATTTTTTATAGTATCCCATCTATCTATCATTACCTTGCTTGGTCAGGTACCATATAATCTTTGAACCAGATCTTTTTTTTTTCTTTTATCATTATCATCTCCTCGGCGGACTTTCTAGACCCGTCTCTCTCTTTTTTTTCCTTCTCTTATCCGATTTCTCCCTTTCTTAATTACCCCGGGAAATCAGGATAAAAAGCTCGGCTGGATAAGCTTAGCTCACGAGATCCGTCGTTTCGACTATTTTACCCACCATCTTTTAAAAACTCCAACAACCTGGGGTAGAATTGGACTCTGTTCCGATTTCTGCCCTTTTTACCGTGTTAGTTTCAGATATTCGCGGTGGCTCCATTACTGTACAAGGTGAGTAATTTAAATAAACTGGGCGAACGGCTCTTTTCGTTTTCTTGCACCGCATTTGCCGTCGGCTGGAAAGCCGGATTATCGTTCGGGTAGCCCTATCGGCAGCTCGTGATGATATGATATGATACGATTCGAACTGTCCCCGGCGGCCCAGTTCGAATTGAATCTACCCCCTTCCATTTTAGATTTTCCCATGCAAAGCCAGCAGAGTCTCCACTTTACTCCGCAATTGCAGTTCCGATAAGGAGCTTTCTATACCTTTCCGTTTTGTTTTTTTCGGGTTGGTTAAAGGTCTCATATAAGACTTCGATTCCTCATCGACACCTGTGCCTGGCCTGTCCTAGCTTGGGGGTTGGTTGCAGCCAGCCAGTCATATTCCAAATTTTGTGTTGGACAGGAAGAAGAACTTAGCTTTGAGCTACCCTCGCCCTCCAACATCATCACCAACATCACCAGAATTGTAACATCTCATCACAATCATCACTATTGTTTTAATTACCTTTAATCCTTTGGATTTTATATAAACACCAAGGAAAGTATACTCACAATTGTCATCATTGGTGCCACAGGAACCTTACCACCACCACTCTCAGCCTGAGATTCCACGGCTCCCAAGCCCTCATCAACTGTTTGATCTTCCACGCCATCATCAGTCCGAAGACGAACACAGGCTGCTGCCTGCGATAGACGGGTCCTCCAGGGCTTCCTCGAGGTCTCCTCTTCTATCGCTCCCGGCACTCTCAGTCCTGGCTTCTGTCGCTACTCCATCACCTGTACCCCCATTAAGGTAAGCTTAACTTGCTCTAAATTCATCAATCTGATGTCACCCGTAGCCTAGCGAGGATGATTATGATGATGACAAAAACATCCAAGACATTTGCTTGTGCGAGCCGATGGATTACGATGACACCCCGTTTCTAGCGATATCTAATGGGAAACCAATTCACTAACAAGCTGAACTTTCACATGAAATAGGCAACCTAATGGGGGTTACTCAATGACCTTTGTGACCAGTTCTCCGAGTGCAAACCCGCACGGACAAGGAAATCAACCTGTAAGCATATCTTCCCTTCTTACCTTCTTACCTTCTTCCGGTTCTCTTTCAATGCATATCGTCGTATTGTCTACTCGTATACCTCGTCTGCTTCATACCCCTGCCCTCGCTCAGGTACAGTGTTGCGCCCTGTCCAAACAGGAAAAATTAGTGCCAACATCCATTGGCATCCGACTGGCCGCCCCGGGCTTACCGTACCGGATATGCTTGCCCTGTCGGTGTGGATGGATGAACTGGCTTGCACCTGTTCGTCGTTCGCCTGCTGTTTCAAGAATTTTTCCATCTTGCTTAACCTCGTTTCCCTTCTAATTCCCCTTACCCTTCCCTCCCCCTCGAATGCCCTCTTTTTATTTGATTTATTTTTATCGGGCTTGCTTGTGCTATGTGTCTTTGACAGCGCTTGCCTTTCTTCTCTTATCAATCAGCGATTACCCCCGTCATTCCCATATCATATCATATCATATCAAATCGTATCGTATCAGCCCAGCCCAGCCCAGCAGTTGGGTGTAGCGTGGACAGATAGCAGATCGATAAAAGCAGTTGCTTGCTACACCTGCCCACCAAGCCTAATTCTCCGATCCCCATTCGTCCTTTCTATCCATTGGCTCCATTTCATAGGACTTGTTGCTCCGTGCTGTCGTCTTTTTTTTTTTTGTTGTACCGTTTGTCTCTTCTGCTTTGCTGTACTTTCGAGGCATCGATCGTGCTTTGGGTTTTCTTGTTGTTTCGTTGTTGCAAACTTTTCCCTCATAGTTTCTTCCTTTCTTTTTTTTTATATTTCATCCGATTCCTTAGCCACCCTTTCTCGTCGGTCCTTCCCCTTCCCCCCTATCGATTATCTCCCTTATCAATTCGCTCTTCATTTTTCCTTTTTTTTTTTTTTGTGCGATTTCGTCATAACATAGACTAACCGATGAGATGATGGCCTCTCACCCCCAACAGCCTATATGTCAAAATTGCACTACCTCAACAACCCCACTATGGCGTCGCGATGAGTCTGGTGCTGTTCTTTGCAATGCCTGTGGTCTCTTCCTCAAGCTCCATGGCCGCCCACGTCCCATCAGCCTCAAGACTGACGTGATCAAAAGTCGCAATCGTGTTAAAAACACTGGTCAACCCCCAAAGCGAAAAGCTGTAAGTAATAATTTCTCTTTTTGTCAATTTTTGCTTCTGTTGGGGCTATCCTCTTTATCTAATCTCGCAGTTCGCCGACAATTGTGCTGACCAAAACTCTCGCTTCTTTTAGACGACTTTCGACTCACCAGTCGCCGTTCCCAATGGAGTCGACATTTCACCTCCACTCGCGAATCGGCCACAGCGTATCCCCAGGCAGCCTTCCTCGGCTCCTGGCGGATCTGTGTCGCCCCAATCTCGAAGTGGCACCCCACTCCCTCAGGGCCCTTCATCCTTCTTCGACTCGATCGTAGCTCAGGATGCCCTTCTCGAGCGCATGGGTAGCCCATTGCCTTCCCTGAATCTTAGTCACCCTTCTCCAGGGTCCACCTCTTCCCAGCATGACCGCCACCACTCAGAGCCTCCAACCTATGACCAGCTTATGCAAGAGAATACTAAGCTCAAGACCCGTGTTTCTGAGCTCGAGCTAGTCAATGACCTTTTCCGCGGCCGTGTTGTTGAGCTTGAAAACGGGGAGGCCAACTCTCGCCGATCGGAGATTACCCGACGAGAAATCGACGCTCAACTCCGCATCAATATCGACGAGGGCCTAAGGCGGGAAGAGGACCTTAAACGCAAGCTCCGGGACTTGGAGTCCGAACTCGCCGAAATGCGAGAACAGGATGCTCATCAGCGTAAGAAGATGAGAGTTTCTGACCTTGTATCCATTGAGGATGCTGCCACTCCTGGAACCCCCCAGTCGGGTGTATAAGCTCGACTTCGCTTAGGCATACCGACACCATCAATCTTTCTTCACCTCATGTTCTTTTCGGAAAGCGACAACATTGCATTTGTTTCAATTACATTGCATCTGACTACTGCGAAAACTGTCATGTCTTTCCTTTGTTCAACTAACTAACAAGCTAATGACCGGAACGACTAAAAAAAAGAACTCTTGACCAATACCCGATAAATCTCTTATCTCGTTTTTAATACCGACGTTCAACCCCGCATTTTCTACTCTTTTTCATTACACTCTTTTGACCCTATTGGGCTGCCGGCGTCGAAGCTTGAGCGATCAGCCAGACCGCGTCGACAGTTTAGAAATAGGTGGACGACGTCTTTTTATCGAATAAGGATTCGGATGCTTTTACCCATATTCATTGTTGCCGGAGTTTTATGGTGTTTTTCTTCTCTTCTCCTTTTTATTTCTCTTCTTTCCATTACCTTGTACTACTTATCAATACCTCCGCATCCTTCTTAAGCCCTTCATCCGCCATTCTTCCTTTTTATTTTCTCCTCTTACCCCTTTCTTGGTTATTTTTTTATATTTATTTCCGGGGAGGAATGGGACTGTGATATATACTTTATTTTGATTTTACATTGGGAGGGACTAGCGCTTTATTATACTATAGATAGACTTGCTGTTTCTGTTTTTTTTGTTTCCCCTTCGCTGCCTTCGAAGCATATTATACAAAATACTATCATAGGGTATCCGCGAGGACCCGCTACTTTTACGAGCACACGCAAATACACATTTCCACGTTCATTTCACTCGTTTCCTATTCTTTACCTTCCTTGAAAGCCATTAGTTCGGCTTTATCAGCGCAGCAGTACACTACTAGTATTGTAAGTACTTAGTAGCTTGCGAAATGCGTGTACTGTCATTTACTGATCTGGTTTTGTTGCAATGCTTGCTGTACTGCTAGCTGCTTTATTAGTGTAGAGATATTTGTATCTGATAGTTGGAATCAAAAAGACGCTCTTTATTCTAGACATCCATTATTACGTGAACTCATACATTGGTGATCCCCGCCTGGAGGTTTGTCCTATATCTGGGTCAGCTGGGTCCTTAATTTTGTGTTGGCGTGGTAGGCGACCACTAAAGCCGTCCAGGACGGCTGGCCAAAGATGACGTGCCTCCCGAACCACCCATTACATATCCTAACTATCATAAGCTCTGACGGCGTACCATTCACGACCTAGACGCGGCAACTCTACGCTGAAAACGGGATATCAGAGTAAACGCTGTCTGCTTTCTACAGAGATTTGATATCGGATCAATCCTGGGTATTGGTGACGTAAATCGATAACTACGTCTGTGGGGTTTTTCTAGGTAGTGGCTGTAACACTCAGCTGGCTGGTGGTCGAGGCCAGGGGGGAAAGCCAACTTGAGCTAAATCTTCCCAGCAGGGCGTCGTTAAAGCTCCAAAAAAAAACCCGACCTTTCGTCAACCCGCAGGCTCTCTCTCCTTTTGGGGCAAATCGATGCTATTTTCGACCTCACACGAGTAATTCCTACTCCACAATCCAGCACCGCCAACCTCAGTATTATCGTCCTCTGTTTTCCAATCTGCATAGCATATTCGAATCTATCGTTATATATCGCGAGAAAACAAGATAATTGCACGATGCCACGACCTGCTAAGTCAGGGTACGCCCGTATCGCACAGGATGAATGGTTGAACGACTCCGACTCTGAAGAGGACATTGAAGCATACCGTGACGGCCTTTCTCGTACCAAGCGTACCGTATCCATCCAGCCGGAACCGACAGCTATCTACCGTACACCCTCGAATCCTCTGCCCGGCCGTCCACCAGGTCGTCCACGCCGTGACTCTTCGGGTGTCGATATCAAAGCGATCAATAACCGGCTTGAAAAATGGGCGGAAGAAATTGCATCCAAGTTCAAACGAAAGTCTAAGAAGCAGCCAAGGGGTGAAAAACGACTAGAGATATATTATTCTGTGTTTGTGCCACCAGAGGGTATGAAGGCTTTGACGCCGGAATACACGGGTTATCAAGAGCCTACTTTTTCCCGGGGACAATTTGAAGATGCGGTTGACTCGGTTCGATATGCTATTGGGAGGGGTATACATCCGAAATTGATCAGTCAGGGGAGTTCAGGGTCGTATTTTGTTACGAATGTGAGCCTTTTCCAACTTAATGGCATTGAAGGGATAGCCAGGGATACTGATATGAATCTGAAATAGAGCCGTGGTAAAACGGTGGCAGTTTTTAAACCTAAGGACGAGGAGCCGTATGGTAATGTGAGTACTTGCATGGTGAGTTTTATGGACTCGATACGATGCTAACGATTCATAGCTTAATCCCAAATGGACAAAATGGTTACATCGAAATTTGTACGATATCTCTCCGTGTCTTGATATTTCCCGGTCAACTTGAGCTAACCTTGCTTTGCACTTACTAGATTCCCTTGTTTCTTTGGTCGAAGTTGTTTAATTCCTAATCTAAGCTATGTGTCCGAAGCGGCGGCAAGCTATCTTGACCGACAATTACGAACGTTTATAGTGCCATATACCGACTTGGTTTGGCTCTCGAGTAAATCTTTTCACTATGATTTCTGGGACCGTCGGGCGTTTTATAGGAAGGGGAAGCCTCTCCCTGAAAAGGTGGGGAGCTTCCAAGTATTCTTGAACGGATATAAAGACGCGACAACCTTTTTGAAAGAACACCCGTGGCCGGATAGATATAATTCCTCCTTTCAACAGGAGGGATCGAAGAGGAGGAGGACTGGGTGGACTAGCTCGTGTAGGACATCTCGTGATGATGACTATGCAGATGAAGAGGCTGGCTTTGAGGAGTCGGAAGGGTTGTCAGATGAGACAGAGAATAGGGGAAGATTCTTCTGGACGGATACACTACGGCAAGCATTTCGGGAGGAGCTGGAGAAACTTATCCTATTGGACTATCTGATGAGGAATACGGATAGAGGGGCGGATAATTGGATGGTGAAGATCGATCGGGAGGCACAGTCAGTACAGATTGTGAGTTCCTCACCAATGAGGTTACCAGTTGATCCTGGGGATATCGGGGGCAGCTTGGATGATGAAGGGGGCCATCTGAAAGCACCATCGCCAGGGTATAAAGCTCATAAGCCGATGAGTATAAATTCTAGGAGCGGGACGCCGTTGAGTGCTGGTGTGGAGAAGGTGAATATCGGAGCGATTGATAATTCCTTGGCATTCCCGTGGAAACATCCTGACCAGTGGAGGAGCTTCCCGTATGGATGGCTGTTTTTGCCGGTTTCATTGGTGGGGCAGCCGTTCTCACAGAAAACGAGGGATCATTTCTTGCCGCTGTTAACGAGTACGAAGTGGTGGGCGGAGACACAAATGGGGCTGAAGGAGATATTCAAACAGGATGCGGATTTCAAAGAGAGGATGTGGGCAAAGCAGTTGGCTGTATTGAAAGGGCAAGCTTTCAATATTGTGGAAACTTTGAAGATGGCCGATTCAGGTCCCTTGGAGTTGACAAGACGGACAAGAGTACATGTTTGGGTACGTGGTTTTATGAACTCGGTCACGCGGTGTCACGGGATGCATACGCTAACGCTATTTGAATAGGATGACGAAATGGATATACCTGTGGCAGTCCCATTGACTGTGCCTTCGTCCGAAGCCAGGCTTAGGAATCAGGCTGAGATTATGAATGGCGAAGTTGATATTGGAACAGGTACAGCATCTGCACCTGTACCATACAGGAATATGAACGCGCTAGGGTCACCAACCTCAGAGCTGCCCAGAGCTCAGAGGTTTGGTCTAAATTCAGGATTTAACGGGAAGTTTTCCGAAGAAGCAGAGTATTTGGAGTCAGCACTTATATCGCCGACGTCGGATGTCGGGATTCAGGACCAACAGAGGCCTCAAAAGAAGAAGAAAGGCAAGTCTGTTGACGAGGGCAGGGTTAGTTTTGATGGGAGATCGCAGAATTCGTGGTCAAAGGCGTTGGGAATGAAGGGAGGAGGCGGGGTAAGGAGGGGTTTGTCGTCTGTGTCTACAGCAGGCAGCTCGAGGCGGGCTAGTGTGTTTGGGGCTTATGATGAAGAGGAAGGGGATCTAGGATTTTCGGCTGCAGAAGGGTTGGAGAGTTCACATAGGAAGGTTATCGTAGAGAGGCTGGAGGCAGTTAAGTCGAAGCCGCCGGTGTTCACGTGGTGTTAAAGGGACAAGTGAGTGGGGTGGAGTATTTATGACCATTAGTATGAATATTAGAAGTCGAGGCGGGCTCGAGGTTTTACTCCTTGGGAAGGGATAACTTTGTGACTAGCTAAGCAAGCTAAGAAGGGACCGGATTTTACTTTTGCGAGGCTGGTTTAGGGGATCGGTCTTGAAGTGAAACTCAATAGTTTTAATGTTTTGATTCCTCTAGAATCGGGATGTCCCGTGGCTAGAGAAGAAGACATGGAGGGGTACATATTTTGGTTCGGATGGAGGGATCGTGTGGAGGAGGTTACGGCGATATCAAAGCTGCGACCTCAGATGCATTCAAATCCTCATCCTCACACCCCGGCAAAAAAGAATATACCCGCACACCCTTGCCTTTGACAGCAAAACTCTCCAATAGTTCCCCTCACTTTAGAGGCAGGGACCGTGCCATATGCATGCAAGCTTCATGACCGAAGGCCCGTTTTATATAGCGTTATGCATTTGGATTTTTAATACAGAACTGGGCGTGCGGCGAACGAGAAGACCTGCATATATGAAATGGCTTCGATATGTTTGGTAAGGAAAGGAAACCTCGTACGCTCGTATACTCCGTTTTTTCTTTGCTTCCGAGTCGAGTGTTTTAAACCCCCACGCTGCAGGAAGGCAGCTGCCGAAAACCGACACACACATGAGGCTTCCTTTCCTTTTTGCTCGGCCTCTTCTACCTAGCTCCCCAGTTTTCCAGAGGGGGTCCGGCCGAAATGGGGTTTCCTTTTTCCTCTGACATGTTACGCAAAAGATTTCGTGCAGTTTGACCACGTGCTCCACACTACTTTTGCGGTTAGTAAAATTTTTGATAAGTTCGGGGTTCAACTTGTAGTTCTTGGGTATTTTATACCTCACCGACGTATGTACTTGAGCCGATTTCTGTTCGAATCCATGGAAGAATACATAGAGCTAAGTGGTTTTGGGGATGGTGGATGTCGATTAGCTCGGTGAAAAAATCAAGATAGGTCTAGGTCTTCGAAGCTTTGACACATGTATGTATGTACTATGTATGGATATGTACCATCTACGTAGGGATCGAACGAAGACCTAAGAAACGATCGATGCAAGTTTGAGCTTTAAATTTGCGAATTTATCCCAAGTTGGCCTCGTGATCTAGAACCTTCAAGAGTTTAGTGGTTTAAACCTGCACACAAATCGACTTGGTTTTTTTTTTTTTTAATCCCCTGCCGGCTTGAGTTTAAGGCCCAAGCGAATGCAGTCTGCAGCTGCAAAACCACACACACGCACACGGTTTCCCTCTTGTCTTCTTGCTTCCTTTCTTTTTCTTTTTTTTTCTCTTTTATTGCACCCTTCTATGGATGCATTTGCTTTTGCTTTGTGTTACGTAGTGATATTTGAAGAAACAGATCAAAAACTGCTGGTGCTACAAATCCCGCAGACAGAGTTTTTTTATTATTAATTATTCTTATCCTTTTTTTTTATCTATTTTTTATTTTTATCCTTTTTTTATTTTTATCTATTCAACTGGATGGGAAATTTGCCTTCCTCTTGGGAGATGGTCAGGGTTTACTACGTAAAGCATTATCTGGTCTTTTGCAAGCGCCGCTGAGCTCTGGATATGACGGTATCCTTTGAACTTGCTGTGCCAGAATATTAACATTTTATCTTTGCGCCTTGCTCGTATCTGGGATAGAGGGTTGGTTTAACTACTAAGTACCTAGTGTATTGGCGTATTATTCGCAATCCGTGAGAGAAATCCGGTGGATCCACTGTTTTCTAATGTAAGTATGTACATACAGACTACTTACTTCCTGCTGTGCAAACGCCCAGTGTCTCACGTTGAAGGAAGTTCCAGAAATGAAAGAAGGGGATGTATATATAGAACGTTAAGTTATTACATGAGATATGGGGACGATCGAGAAGGAAAGAGAAGTGGGCCTTCTTTGTCATAGCTGGTGAAGAGAGCAGTGAAGCATCCGCAGTGATACGGTCAATAACGAGATTACAATTCGGAATCGATCCTTTTTTTTTTTTTTAGTTTACACGGCTCAGGAAGTAGAAGTCATGGGACCTTGTTACCTCCTTTTCCCCCCCCTTCTTGAATGACACTCACCTGAGTTTTGTGATATATTCGACCCGAACGAACAAATCGGAAGCGGTTTGGGGGATGTGGTTCGAGGGTGGTTAAAGGTGCGTAACAATTATATTCGAAAAACATAATTAATGTTGGTAACGTGACCCTTCCACACCATCTTCTCGTTCATGTTCTTCCTTTTGTTTTTCTTTTCTTCTTTACTCGGGACCCCATCTTGCATCGCGAATCAAAAATCAGATGTAAAAGACCAAAAGGGAAGTTTCTTTTTTAATATAATATTTGAGAAGAAAGAAGGGGGTTTTGTTATATTGAAAAGAAGAAGCAAAGAGGAAGGGGTGTGGGGTCCGGGTTCCTCTTTGAAGCTTTGGGAGCCCTCTCTTTCTTCCTTTCTTTCTTTTTTTGGTCCCCCTTCCGCGCTTTGCTTTTTTAGTTCCTCATGCCATGTTAAAGTGGGACCGGAACAGGTTTGATCTGACCTCGTCGGTTGTCTTTTTCTTCTTCTTAGTTTTCTATTGATTTTTATTTTAAAGTTGGAAATACATATGTATGTCTGTATGCTCTGTTAAAACTAACTTACTAACCAGCAGGACCTGCCGGGCTGGGCTGGGCTGGGCTGGGCTGCTGTGCTTTAACTGTGGGGTTCCCTCATCAAACCTCGTGGACAGTTCTTTTCTCTGTACATACTTACTTAACTTAACTTAACTTACTTAACTTAACTTTACTTACTTACATATAACATACATAAAGCTCCGCTTCTTTTATATACCCCTTTCCCACTCTTCGTCGCTACTTCATACTTTTTTTGATATTGTTCGGGATTTATGTCAGCTAGCGTGAGCGGAGGTTGGCGAGTGGCGTAGACTTCTAGTTTATGCCGTTGGAATATTTCGACCTCTTTTTTCCCTTTCCCTTACATTACATTACATTACATTACAGGTATACTAAGTATATTACCAACTACTAATTACTTGCTAGTATAATATACTATTCCTACTATATTATACTATACTATACTAAACGACGGCCACCGAGGTTACGGTTGATTTTTTTGGAGCTTCTTGGAAAGAGGAAAACTTACACGGTTGACTTGCGCCCCTTCCAGAAGGATTCTCGTGAGAATTAATAGACGTTCTGCCTCGGGGCTTTTTTTTCTTTCTCGGTCTCATAAGCTTTCACTCACCGGCTATCCCATCTCTACTACTATTATTATTATTATCATTTCTATTAATTTTTATCCTTTTCTTACCGACTTTTTTCTTTAATTACCGGAACTGGTATCAAAGTACTCGAAAAACCGCATTCGATTAATTTTTTCTTTCTTTCCCTTCGCCAATTAATTTATCCAACATTCGGACAACACGGGTTGGCAATATAATTTTCCTGACTCGAAAGCAGCTCCATCAGAGAAGAAGCTTTAACGACGATAGTTTAAGCTCGATTCGGAACCCGACCCAGGCCAGGGATATTAAAGTTTCAAGATTCAACCCCCCTCCTTCGATTATAAACAAAAATAACGAAAATTATCAGAAGGATATACTTTTTCCGGGGGGGCGCAGGTGTTCTCTGTTTTAATACCGGATTGGTTATTAAATACAGATCTTGGATCAAAATCGTCGATGACAGCAGTGGTGGTCTCTAATATAATCTATTATATTTCCATTGCACTACCAATTGCGGGTAAGTTGAAAAAAAAAGGATCTAGAAGTATCAAGTCTTCTCTTTCCTCTATTGTTTCCTTCTCTCTTTCGATTTCTCTTTATCTTTTTATTTTTTTATTTTATCTCTTCTCGACATGCATAATATCCGTTTATTACATCTTGTTATCGTTTATTAAATATTATCATCTGGTAACTTATTTGATCTAAACTCGATAATACAAAACTAAAAGTTAAGTTCAGAATATCATGCTAACATCGAGTTAACTACTATAGGCTCTCTTCCATTGTGAACGTTCTAACTCGTTCAGAAAAATGAACAAGTGAGAAAGAGAGAGAGAAAAAAAATAACTTCATGCTCCCGAAAGAAGCAGTTCAATCCGAGGCAAAGGCACCCGAAAGTACATTTCGCATCAACTGAAGAGCTGCACGATTTCTTTTTTGTCTATTGCTACTATTTGGTTACAGCCGGCCTTTGCGATTAATTACTGCTATACTATTACTGTTAGTAGACTGCAGCTCATCTGTTCCTTTTTGTTTTATTTTATTTTTTCTTTCTCTCCCGCTGCTCCCTCTTCGTCTTATTTCTCCGGTCTGTCTTTTCTATCTTGTTATTCTTCTCTTCTTTTTCTTTCTTTCGGCTTCTTCTTTTCTTATAACTAATATTACATGTATGTACATATTAAGGAAGAGAAAGAAGAAAAGAAAAGAAGAGAAAAAGGAAGAAAGAAATTCTCAGAGAAGTTCTGTCCAATCTTTTCATATCACAGTCTCGATCTCGAACTTGCACTCGAACCACCAATATCATCCACTGCACCGCAACAGCATCTGGTACCGAGTAACGACGAAACCTTAACCCCGGGCAACAACCACCCCATCCACCACAACGACAACGGCAACGGCAACCACAAAACGGCTTCGATTTCAACTCACATTTGCTGCGACACAAACCCTCCAACAAACCAAAAATTCCGAGGATTTTTATATGACCGTATGACAACTAACGTCAACAACCTCCCGCTTCTATTTTCTTTTCCTTCTTTTCCTTCTCTTCCTCTTCACCATCTTCACCCTCCTCCCCCACCTTCGTCATCATCAACATCACGACTCTGACATCTACTCCCAAACTTTTTCATCCACATACATACATACAGTCAGACACTAGAACATATACATACATCTTCACAAAATCCTACAATAATGTCAAAACATAACAGACAGGACCCGGTCCCTCTTGAACCGACAACCAAGAGACCAAGACTCGAAGATGAACATTTATATGCTCCCCTCCATCATCATCAACGTCATCCACACCACCACCATCACAACCATACTCATCATAATATTAATAACCAGCTTCACCACCATCATCAACAACAACAATACAACCAACATCAATATCATCAACACCAACATATTCAACAACATTCATCTTCAAAACCTAGGTATCCGACTACTGCCGAGTTACTATTGAATCCAAAAGCTGTTCGGTTAGCTGCACAAGCGAGTAGTAGTGGTGGTGGTGGTGGTGGAAGCGGCAGCAGTGGCAGCAGCAGCAGCAGTGGGGCCCCAGGGGTTAATGCAGGGGTGAACAGCGGGTTACCGACGGCAAATCGACAGGGGACTGTGCAACTACCCCCCTTGCAGCTACAGGATTCGATGGGTACAAGAGCTGCTAATATGCTGCTAAATTTACATGGAGTGGTAGATCGTGCTTCTAGCACGCCGTACGGAAGTCGACATAGCAGTCCGTTTCCGAGGCAATCTGTACAGCAGCAGCAGCAGCAGCAACAACAGCAGCAACAGCAACAGCAACAACAGCAACAGCAACAGCCGGGATATGGAGGAGATGGAAGTGGCAGCGGAGGGAGTGGGCATGGGAGGAGTCAGAGTGCGAGTGGAGGGTTTGCGGGGGGGAAAGGATCTGGGAAGTTGACTTTGCCGAGTATTGAAGATGGGTTTAAAACTGGAGCGGAGGCTCGAGCGACGAAGAAGAAAAGGTCACCAACGCCGGAGATACAGTTTTTAAACAGCAGGTTTTCATCGGGACAGTCGACGCAGGTTCGGACTTCTTCTATAGTGGATTTGACGAATGGTATGCCGTCCCATATGATCTTACCCCCCTTTTTTAACAGGTCGAAAGACGTTTTACATATTCTTTGAATATTGATAACTAAGACTCGGGTTTACAGACGAAGATGAAGACGATCTAATCTACAGTGGGACAAAGTCTATAGCACCAATCGTGTGCTATGGTATGATTATGAAAGTACAAGCTTCAATCGCTGTCATTCCGGACCCACCGCCGAATCTGGATCCTTTAAGCTTTGGGCGAATGTGGCCGAAGATTCCTGTATCCTTGACTAGAGGAGAGCCACGGACTTCCTGGGTGGTTAATTTGACGACTGCTTCGGGAAGAAATGTGGGGACATTGAGAGGCGCAAATGCCAAAGCGATGGCTTCTTTGATGGATCTAGGACTGGTTGATAGGACCCAAGCAATCATTTTACCGAGATACAAAGGCTTTGAAGTAGCTGGACAACCGACTTCTCAGACTGTGGTAGGTGGATTTGGGAGGTATATTTTTCTCGAGACAGGGTTTGATGCTGATAAAAGGATTTAGGAGATGACAATTACATTATACGGGACCGAAGGGAATGCCAGAAAGGTTGGAAATATGTTAGGGCAACATAATCTATTCCTTCAGGATCCGATTGAAAGAGATCCGAAGTTCCCATACAAAAATCCGCAGTACCCAGAGGAACAACAGCAGAATGGTAATGCCTACATGGCTGCAGCGGACCGGGCTAGGCTAGGCAAGGCTACTTACTCGATAAGGACGACCGAGGAAGTCAAAAACGAGATCACGGCTGTATTGGACTCTTTAGAGAAGGTCCAAGTTTTGGAAGAGACTGAAGCGGACCCACGGATCACAACGGCAATGTTGCCGCATCAAAAGCAAGGGCTTAACTTCATGCTGAAGAAAGAAGGTGAGACGACGTATGAACAGGGCGATGGGACTTCGTTCTGGAACGTGAAGATGTCACCTGGTGGTATGAGGATGTATCAAAACGTTATCACTGGGCAGCAGATGAGATCGAAGCCGACACCATGCCTGGGCGGTATCTTGGCTGATGATATGGGACTTGGAAAGACGGTAAGGAGCGCGGAGTATGACTAGATACCAAAATACTCAAAAAACTAATGTTGGTTTAGCTCACCGTGCTATCGTTAATTATTTCGACTCTTCAGGAGGCTGCGGCGTTTGGCAGGAGGCGAAAGGGTAGCCCAACCAGCGACCATGACCTTTCTGTCATGTATGCCAAATCAACCTTGCTCATATGCCCGCTTTCAGTCTTGGTCAACTGGGAGGATCAAATAAAGGCACACGTAGTGCCAGATGCGATCTCTTACTATGTCTACCACGGGAACAACCGGCTCTCCGACCTCAACGAACTTGCGAAATATGACATGGTGATCACGACCTATGCGCTAGCCGCTAGTGACTTCGGAAAGGCGCAAAAGGATAACACGGGCGTTTTACAAAAGATCCATTGGTTTCGGATAGTTCTTGATGGTACAGGATCTCTCCAAAATTTTGGTAGGGTGGGGGTTTGGCTAACTAGTTGGTTTTTTAGAGGCGCATACGATTCGGGAGCAAAATACGGTCCAATCCAAGGCGATTTGCAACATGGAAGCCTCAAGAAGGTGGGCGGTTACAGGGACACCGGTTCAAAGTATGTGGTATTTTTGATTCTTCGGGCTACGCGCGGAGGCTGACAATTGAGCAGATAGGCTTGATGATCTCGGCACCCTGATCAAGTTTTTGAGGGTTAGCCCGTTCGATGTTCGATCGCAGTTTAACCAATATATATCTGCACCACTCAAGGTAAAATTTAATCCGTCTCGATTTAAATTGGGTACGCTAACTGTTGAATTTAGTCTGGAGATCCCACAAGTATGGACAAACTCAGGGTTCTGGTTGACAGTATTGCTCTACGGCGACGGAAAGACAGGATCGACCTCCCCACCAAACATGATAGAACACTTCAGCTTAGGTTTAGTCGTGAAGAACAAGAATTATATGATGCAACCTCCCGCCAATCGAGATACAAAATTGATATGGTCGCGAAGCAGGGGCATCTTAATGGGAAAGCTTACGTCCACGTCCTTCAAACAATACTTCGCCTACGAATGATTTGTGCGTCTCGAGATCTTCTAGGCGACGAAGACACAGCGGGATTGATTTCTTCCAACGCGATTGATATCGATTCTCTGACGGACGAAGAAACACACGCCATGGGCAAGAAGCAAGCATTTGAAATTTATAACTTGATGAAGGAATCCGACGAAGACATATGTTATACCTGCCAGAAGAAAGTTAGCACCGCGACTGCTAGGGATGGGACTCCGACAAACCAGGATGCCAGCGTGCCATTCGGCCATATCACAACTTGCCCTCATCTTTTCTGCACAGAGTGTGGGCCGAAATATTTGGAGGCACTACTGGAGTATGCGAATATGGGGGACTGGACCAATTGCCCTCTTTGCCGACTACCTCTCAGGATTGGAATGAGAGAATTGAAGGCCTCTGATGATCCGAGCTTGCAGAAAGATGAGAATATCAAGAGGAAGGTGGTGTTCCGAAACTCAAGTACGAAGATTAGACACTTGGTCAATGATTTGATGGATAACAGAAACATGGGAGATGATAAGGGAAGGATTAAGAGGTAAGAATTCGTCCCTATATCAACGTACCTTATCTAGGGTATCATGCTAACAGCCTTTTAGTGTGATCTTTTCTGGTTGGACAATGCATCTAGATCTCATCGAATTCGCCTTTGAAAGAGCCGGGATCAAATGGACACGAATTGATGGGAAGATGAACCGAGCGCAGCGTGCCGACTCGCTCACGAGGTTTCGCGAGGATCCGGACGTCGAAGCTATCCTTGTTAGCATTAGTGCGGGCGGCGTAGGCCTGAACCTAACGGCTGCATCACGGGTCTACGTTATGGAACCACAATTCAATCCTGCAGCCGAAGCACAAGCTATCGATCGTGTGCACCGTTTAGGACAAGAAAGAGAAGTCTGGTGCACACGTTATATCATGGAAGATTCATTCGAAGAGAAGATTGTGGCGTTACAACAGAAGAAGCAAAGAATTGCAGACCTCAGTATGACGCAAGGAAAGAGTAAGAGGCAGAGAGCGCAGGACAAGATTGATGACCTGAGAGAGCTATTTAGGTAGTAGACAGACTCAGGTTTCCCCTTTCTCCGTTTTTTTAATTTTATTTATATTATTCAATTGCCTTCTCGACTTTCAACAGAGGGAATGGTTTTGAGACGGCATACATGAATTTTTTCTTCTACATCGTCTCGCTAGGGTATCTATTTCGTTTAGTTCTGTTGAATCTGTTGCATGAACTCATACATGAACGGAGTTTAATGGTAGGAGGGATCGAAGGTGGTGAACGGAAAGCGCATCATATCACCAAAAAAAGTTTTGCTCTTATCAAGCCCATCAATTTGTTGTTTCCATTTCCGTTTCCGTTTCCGTTTCCACCATATTTCTTTTCTTCTTCATGTTTCTGTCTCCGCTGTCGATTTTTCTCGGTCGTTCTCGGTTGAGCATTATTATATGGGAGTTTTCTTAGCGGGTGGTCATTTTACCTTCTTTTTTTTTTCTTTCTTTATTACCAGCTTATTTATTTCGCCATTCTTTCCCACCATCATTGCATTGCGATAGGCCTGCTTTCCACATTCATCTGTTTTTTAAAATTGCATTTCTTTTTACTTTGAGAGATATATATCATTATCATCCGCCTGTAGACTAGATAGCGGGATTTTAAGTTCCGTGGATTTACAGTTTGTGAAGTCCTTCTAAGTGGCGAGTTAGAGGCACTAGTTGAAAAAGGTTTAGAAATAGTAGCTACTAGTGTAGTATACTAGCATTCTTTAAGTCACCGCAATTATAGTATGCCTTTTGGCTATTGATTCTGCAGTAGTAGTGGTGAGTGTTTAGATGGAATAGGTGTAGTTGACTTTTAGTCATAGCTATACACCTCGTCCCTTCGGAATGTGGTTTGAACAAATATATTTGTGGTGAAATGGTTCCATTTATCTTCATATCTGTTTTGATATATTGGCGTTATTTAGGACTCTCGGGCTTTGGAGAAGTGCTGTGCAAGTTTTCAACAAGCAAGACTGCTAGATGCGATACCGGCGGGGTGATAACCGGCCGTGGAGGCTGTATTGCGACAAGCTGCTTGGATTATTTGTCAATAATCCATCTTGGCTTCTAGTGAGGATGACCTGACGAAAGGATAACCCAAATTTCGAGCGAGGAGTATGCATATGAATGAAGCGACGGGTCCTTACACCACTTCCAATAAGCGGTGGCCGACGCCAAATCTCATATCTCCCAATAATTTTCCAAGGACGAACGTCTTTTAACACCAGAGTTGGGATTAATTCCCATCCACCCCATCTAAACCCTCTTCAAACTCCTAACCACTTCATCAAACTCCACTAACAACTGTTCTTTCTCCCTGATAGACTTCAACCTCTCCTCCTCAGCCCTTTCCAACTCCATCCCCAGCTCCTTCAATCTTTCCTTCTGATCATCTTCGGATACACCGATTCCCGGTAACGAAGCTATAAGGACTTCTATTTGTTTTGTTTTGAGTACTAGATCACGGGCTAGTTCTTGTTGCGAGGAACGGAAGATGTGTGGGGGATCTGGTTGGAGGGTTTCGTCGCGGACTTTGGGTTCGTTGTGGGTGGGGATGAAGTCGTGGTGGGTGCCGACGTAGCGGAGGGCGCAGTAGAAGATTGTTGCTAGCTATGGTTGTTTTTTTTTTTAGATGTTAGTATGGTTGGGGGCTTGAGAAGGTAGCAGGAGGAGGAGGAGAAAGGAGAGAGGTTTACCTGGTCGATGGCATCTTGGAGTTGGGTTAGCCGGTCTGCCATCGCGAGCGAAGGTTGTGGGATGCTTGGGTGATGGATGGGATGGGATGGTTCACGATGGTGGTCGCGAATATGGTTTGCGCAAGGGTGGGCGGTGGCACGGGAATGGCAGTTGCAGGGGAGTTGCAGGGGAGCGCTGGTGTTGGATTTTGGGGGACAACACGAAGAGGGATTCCCCTTGAGCTAAGCTGGTTTAGTGTCGAGACTGGATTCCCCTCAGCCTCGTAACCAAACTCCCCTTGTGCAGCGAAACTGGGTGTCCGGGTTGGAGAAGTAGAACATAAAATTCTTGTTCCTGTATGCTATTTACTTCGCTATAAGACCCAGCCGATCTCGCGATGGGTTTTCAGGCATATGATGTATGGGTTTTACATTTCTCAAAGGGGTTCAATTCTAAACTCTATGAGACTATCGTGAGCTATCGATTCGATATTTAATTTAAATAACTACAAATTATTTGGGATGCTCTATCCGGATCCTTGGAGTTGATAATTAGCTAGAAGGCGTAGTTCCAAAAAAAAAAGGGCTAACATATTCGAAACACTTGAGGCTGAAGAATCGAGAACCCTAGTGAATCTGCATGTTGCAGGACTTCAGAGAGAGTGTTTATGATTTTCTATATATGTCCGGGACCTTCAATGCTTAGGGTACCCATATAACTTGTCAACAGAATTATTACTTCCTCTGAGATTTTTCACTGGGATATTGTAGATATGCAAGGTATATCCACATATGCAAGGTATATCCACATATGCAAGGTATATCCACATATGCAAGGTATATCCACCCTGCGCTTACCTATGAAATTCTGTCTGCTGGTTACGCCGATATATATTACGATGATATGTTTGGCCGTTGGGATTCAAAATCCATATGCTACAATGGATCAATAAAGATAACTAGAAATTATAACACTATAGGTCACATGCGAATCGATACCACGATACATTGGTTGTAAATTACTAGCGAGTTAAAAGAATAATTATGTGCTTGAGGAACCTCTCGATGTATTTTTTTAAGTGTTTATATAGGTATATTAAGACGAAACCATGTGTAGTGCCTGATCACCGGCATTTCTAAATTCTAAATTCTGTCTTTCTTGCGATCAAGCTGTTTACCTTCCCGATCCCGTATCGGTCGCCGGGCCTTGGTGTTTAGGCAGAGGTGATGCAACAGAAAGAGAGAAAAAAAACGCTCAAAACACAGCCTCTTGGAATTCATGCTTCAGATTCATGCCTTGATTGGATACGCCGACCGACTTTTTTTCCTGGGCTGGTAGTATTTTTAAGCTTAGATCGCGGGAGCTACTTGAAACGTCAATGTTCGAAAGTTGTGGACGGTCCCATGTTCATGTCGACATCAATGTTATTCAAAACTGAACTAGGTTGCCTTTTCGCTTAACTACTACCAAGGCGAAGCTCATGAATGGAGCTCATGTCCATTGTAGGATCCTAAGAGAATACGGTCCTGGAAGTTTGGCAGGGAAAGACACGCATTGACATCTTAAGCTTGTTATGTCTAAAAACTTTAATTGGATCGTACTGTCCCTCCCTAGATTGCGTTTCTTTGATTATGGCATTTGGTCTTGGTGTTTCTTTGCACGCTATGCAAACATGTTATATTATGATATTGATGAATAAAAAAAAAGACCTCAACCGGGAACAATTGACGGGAAGCATCGGGATTATAGAAATGAGTTTTGGGGGTACATGCGCCGATGGAAACCGTAAAATAAAATTTGGATATTTGTCTGGTAAGTCGACATTGCAAGTTGTGGTTGGGTAACGATGCCATGGCGGTGTTCTCGCCGCCGCCAACGGGTTGGTTCCACAAGCAAGCCCTACCCGGCTGCCAAACAGACGATCCGACGACGAACATGCACCTGTGGCTGTATTCGACGCCAGGCAACAGAACCAACGGTTTTAAACAGATATGAGCTCAGAACGACTTATATTATACCAGGACGAGATGATAGCTTCTCCGCATACATAGCAATTTAGGTAAGAAAATGCGAGCTCTTCGAACCGAGCTGTGGTATCTTCGCGGGATAAGTTAATTCTGATGCCATGTTTGAGGTTTTGTTCGACTCGCTTTGCATATCAAACCCCCAGGTTTTTTTCGTTTCTGGAAGAAACAGCCATACATCAATTCGCCAAGACCCGTGAAATTATTCAATGCAATGCCCTCGTGAGGTTCAAAGTAGGTAGGAGGATATGTCTCCGCAGGGATCTTAAGGTTATTTATTTACTTCTTTTTCTTCTTCGTTCATCTGTTCCCTCGTGAAATCCCCTGGCCGATTAAATTGATTTCCGTAAAATCGAATCTGGGACCGCCAATTGGTTTTAATTCTGTTCTCTGGGGAAGGAAGGATGGCGAAACGATTGGCCAACAGCGCTCCCACTTTCATCCCATGTCAGGTTTCGACAAATATCAAAAACAAACCAACGGCTTCCCCTCGACGCAGATATGTTATCAGGCCCCTAGACATATATATCCACCTTTAAAAATTCGGGAGGCCTAGGAGTAAACGGGGAGGGGCTACCCCTATCAACTATCAATTATGTTTCTAGGTGTCTTGCAGGGCTTAAACTAGGGACGGAAGCTTAAGAAGCACCTTCGCCCATATCCCTTACTCAGAACCTTCTTGTGAAGCGTAGATTCATAAATCGCATGAATAGACAAGATCTTGGTTACGAAGAGTTTTTCCTCCTTGCGACGCACTGTAATATAAACCCTCCCACTTGGGTCTCTCATATTAGTCATTTCCCTGCGTCCTTTTTTTTTGCACCTCCATTTTCTTTGCTGCGTCCACGGAGCTATAGCATTACTCGCTAAGATCTTTTGTTTCTACAAAAGGAAGATCGTGATCTCTTGTCCCACAGCATTAGACTACTAACGAATCGACAAAAGTATTGAAGGTGAAGCCCTGAGCTTCTTCCCTTGTGATTCACTGTACTCCACAAATTAGTATAATTACTTATATATAAGCACGACTATCCCCCCTCCTGTCGAAACTCGAAACAATTCCAGCCCACTTAGAAACATCGAGCTAGACAGTCGAATATTTCATATATCAAACCTCTTCAACGTTCACAATATGCATTCCCAGCGTCTTATCCAATTTGTAGCTATTACAGCTATCACTTCATCCGTTTTCGCAAACCCAGTCCCACCAAGGGAACCAATCGACAACCTCCCTCGAGGCGCACCACTCGTCACCGACGAAGTCCTTCTTCTCGATGCTCCAGCCTTCCAAACCGGCGAAGGCGGTGAGTGGACAGCTTCCGTTAGAATGTTCACTCACATTCGTCAAGTCCAATCCAAGATAATTTCGAAGGCTGTGACAACGGCTATTGAAGCTTTAGGGATCGAGATTGGGGATAAAGTCAGTAATGTCCTTGAGAGATCTAAGCTTTTCTTCGCTATCCCTCGAGGTGGGATTTCGGTTGATCTTGATGTTGCTGGTTGCGGTTCGGCTAGTATGCGTGTGGGGGAAACGTCGAAGATGGGATTGCTTGAACGAAGTGCTGGGATTGGAGCCTGTAGTGGTTCGTCGAGCGTGAGGTCGATTAGTGGGTATGCGCCCGGGTTTTTCAAGGGGAGATCTTTTGAAGCACTTATCTTCCAGTCCCCTCCGAGTGGATTTGGAATCGTCTCTGGTACGTATCTATATGTATATGATATCAATATAATTATATTGAATGATAATGATGCGTAGCGGTTTACTAATCAAATTAATATTATGCGTAGACGTTGACGATACTATAAAGGTATCTCATGTCCTAGACAAGAAAAAGAATATGCAAGCCATTTTCGTTGATGACCACGAAGTCGTCAATGGAATGCCAGAGTTTTATTCGAAGTTGGATGGCGAACTTGGTAATCCAGCTTGGTTCTACCTGACAGGATCTCCATATCAGCTTTATCCTTCACTTAGGAAGTTCATCTTCGAGGCCTACCCCAAGGGACCAATAATCACCAAGAATCTTACGGTCACAGATATCCCATCCATATTTCAAAATCTTAGTGATGAGGATATATTTGGAAATTATAAGGTCACACAGCTAGAGAAACTTCGTAGATTCTATCCTAAAAAGAAGTTCATTACTATCGGTGATAGCACTCAAGCTGACCCAGAGGCTTATGCTGAATTGTAAGTTTCCTCCGGATTTTCCAAGAGCCAACAATTTCGGTGTTCATCAATACAATATCGACACGCGACTCATAGCAGTTTCACTAACCCCCCCTTTTTGTAGTGCTCGCCGTTATCCGGATTCTATTCAATGTATCTTCATTAGAAAGGTAGAGGATGCAGACAACAGGGAAGAACGATTTAGGGAAGCCTTCGTTGAGGTCCCAGAAAGCAAATGGAAGGTGTTTACGGAACCGTCGGAGATAACGGAGTTGGATGTTGCAAGTGGGCAATGCAGCTAGGACGTCGTGACGCTTCTGGTCTGCGATATGCATGTCAGTGTAGGATTGATGTTGAGGAGGCTATGTTTTCGGATCCAACTATTTCCACCCGTATATATTTCTAACCCCCCATAATACAATACCCAAGATCCTGTATTTGAATTCTTGTGCCTGAAGCTTCTTGTCGATTTGTATATAGACTCTTTCTTTTTTCTAAAGAATAAGGATGATACCCAAAATTTGAAACTCAATCCAAGATCCTAACGTTATAACCGCCCTTCTGTTAGCTAGTATATATCAGTTCATATTGAGCCGTTACAACATTAAGCTAAGCCAGTCCCAGCTCGAGCGCCCCCCATGGAATCAAGTTTTCCGCGAAAGATCGAGGTAATGGAGAACTTTGGGGCCCATGCGCATATGCCGATGCAAAAAAGAGGATAAGCTCGACATTTTTCTAATAATCTAGAACGGACGTGCATAAGGCGGGATAAGGTCGTATTCCGCATGTAGACAAGAGCCGGTGTGAATGTCGTATTGCTCGACAGCACTAGACCATAATGAGTCGTCTGTAAACTCGAAATGTTGCCTGTTGGGTAGAGCGAAAGCAGCGACCAACAGGCCTCGCTGTTGGAAGTTGACTCGATGCATTGGTTTGACTTGAATTCATGAATCTGAATGAAGTTGGGATATCAGTATCAGTACCGGTAAATTGGGATTTGATATGATATCAAAGGACTGCTTGAATGTGCCATTCGTACTTACCAGACAGCGTGCCCCATGAATAGATACATACACAAGTTAATTGACATGCACATGTGGTGGAATTTGGAATCGGATTGAATAGCTAGATATGTATATCTATGTCATCGATCGATCGGATTGGAGATATGATGTCTATATCAATCAAGTATCTAACATACAAGTATCGATAAAATACTAGCTGTCATGTTATAATTAAACATGCAATTGTACATACATGTACATAGAATTAATTTGTTTCCACGATATGAATGAAGTCGACTCAAAGGAAGGAATTGGAGTAAATGAAAAAAAGAGGGGCACTGGAAGGAATGTCCTTTGTAGTATATCCTCCCACTCGATCATCAGTTAGGAATGTAAGAGGCTATAAAAATATCATCCTCAGAGCGTGTATCATATATTGCAGTACCGAACCGACCCATTCTTTCAGAGCCTCCTCGCCTAACCTACGTACTTACGTCCTTACAGTACGTATCATGACCCCTCCTCCCGTGCCCGCCATCTGACCGATCACTGCTTCATTTCCACGGTCCAGGCTTCCCATTTGCGGCAATAGAAATCGTCTACCCCAAATGCAGGGTCCGGTTCCCAACTTAACTAAACCTTGTGCAACACATTCCGGCCTCCTGTCTACAGGCCCCCGCCTCTTTCTCACCAGCGCTGGCCAGCCCGTCCCACACACAACCAAATCCTGCAAACGGTACGTAACAATCTAGCCATTCGAATTTTTTTTCCCATACCCCCTCTCTTGCTCTCACAAGGGCTGTGAAAACAAAGAAGAAAAAAGAGGGTGTAGGTTGTGATCTGAAAAAAGTTGTTATGGCTGCCTGCCTCGGGTATTGGGATTCGATCTGTTGTGTGATATCTATACTTCCTGATTGATATCCCGATGCAAGAAAAAAAATGTCTGGAAGCGCTTTGAAGCTGGAAGGCAAAAAACAAAAAAACGAAAAAGAATGGACATGGCTGATAATCCCATCCCCACCGCCCGAATTCTTTTTTGGTCCTTCTGTAATTCTACGGATGTCTCGATTTCGAACTTCCCTCATTCTTGCGCCTTGATATATTTGAACGAACCCGAGTACTCCAGCTGCGTTCAGGACGAGAGTTTCTTAAAAAGGCACGTATGGTTATGAAGCCCTCGTCGGAGGGAAGGAAAGAAAGATCTTTGACAAGGTCCTTTTCTTTTTCGTTATCTTGAAAGATATATCATCTGAAGCTCGGTCTTCATATATCATACCTTTACGTTCTTTCGTCTATCTATTCTCGGGAGATAGAAGACTCTTTTTTTTATCTTAAGGGTCACAGGTACTTGATCCGGTAACATATCTTCAATTTTTTTTTTTTTGAAAAAAAGAGGATAACGTATCATATCGTTTGATTAAACGTCCCCAGAGGGTTCGACGTCTTTGTCTACGGTATCGACCTATTGGATTGCGGGATCATTTACAGTGCTACTGTAAATCACCACAGAATTCGAATTCGGGATCGGTTTCAAGGGCATTGTATCACAACCATCCCTGCCAATCAAAATACCCTCGGTACCAGTACCATAGGGAAATAATACCAAGAGATCATGGCTTCAAATGGTATCCCGCACCCTGGGCTCGCATCTCTAACATCCCTAGCAACATCTTTTACCGACAACGGTAACCCTGTCCTATCAAAACCTCCAACCCAATATACTCAACGTCCCTCCCGTCTTACCAAAGCCCAGCCCGCAAACTCAAAGATCGCAACCCGTTCGATACCTGTATCTTCAGTATCTGAGTTACCGAAATCGCGTATTCTCCCTACTGCTCGTAATATTTCCATATTCTCGACGCTGGGGACCGCGTGTATCATTGCCTGTATTGCATTGGTGCTTTTGAAGAATGTTAATATATGGATTACCCTCGCTGCATGTTTTTGCGGTGTACTGGGTGCGGCGCTGTATATCGAGGTAGCGCTGCTGGTCAGCGCGAGGTTTAGATGTAGGATCTTGGATGAGGAATGTTCTATCGCGGATATGATAGAATCGAAGCAAGATAGAAGACGGAAAGGGCTATCATGGGATCTGAGAGGTATTGGGAAGAAAAGCAGCGAGGAAGAAGGAAGAGGAGGACAAAGTGAGAAGGTTGGTCCGGATGCTATGGAGGAACGGAGCCATCGTGAGTACTATCATTTGGGATTCCAAATCTGTGATTGGAGATTATACCCCCTCCGGTTGCGCATGTTATCGATTGGATTTGAGTTCTAAGCTAACAAGGATATATTGTTCAACAATAGCTGTAGCGAATCAAGGCTTGAAAGGTGGCCCGCCATCCATGACAAGCATAAATGAGGAGACTGAGGCTGAAGAAGACGATTATGATGAGAAGGACGTTACCATAGAGGTGGCGATCCAGAAACCCATTCCAGTTGCGACTTCGCTCCCGGTCTATAGAGTATAGTATTCTCTTTTTATTCTCCCTCGCCACTATCGTTCTATTCGACGAAGTTTTCTCATTGGAATCTCCGCGGGGTTTTTTTTTGCCCCCATAACCTTAACGACATGATTATTTGTTTCTCGCTTCAATATCCCCTGCTGTTGCTTTTCTTTCTCGCTTCCTTCAAACTATCACTGGATATCGGTTCTCAAGGGGTCTACATATGTCTTTCATTTCCAATCGACCGATTCCCTTTTTTTGCTCTTCTCTTTACGGCGTTATACGGATGTATTTACCAGGAAAGGATATAACATTTTTCTTGTTTAACGAATAAAACTAAGACCACTCTCAAGGGTTATCCTACATGAAGCTACTCTTGGCTACATACGCCGCCTTCATGGTTAAGAGCGAGCCACTAACCTATCAATATGATATGATATGATATGATACGATACGATATCTGATCTAGGCCGTGCATCTTAGACACTTCATGATAAAGGCTGTGCCTACTATTGGAACGTGCGCGCACGCGTACGGGTGCTATGGCTTTTCATTGGATTAGAGTATATAGCTAGAGGCGCCGATCAATACCGTCAATACGTGGCTGGCGGTATGGCGAGAATGAGGGGAAAGGGTTGGGATTTTCTATGAGAGGTTTTTTTCTTTCTTACTTAGGCGCTATGGAGTTATGGCGTGAGCTCGTGGTTTTCTTGGAAGTCCGAGCAACAGTCAGATGATTAGATGTAAGTATCGATGATCTTGGTCATTATCGACAGTAGTGATTTGAAATATACTGGTTTCTGGGTTTGTAAGCTGTATGAGGTATCTAGATGTTCGAATATGAGATAGAGGCATAAGTTGAGTTCAATCAATATCCTACTAAAGAACTACTGGTACTATTATTAGATTGATATTCCCTAATAGATATTCGACTAGCTAAACGTATAGCAGTTCTAGAGATCTTCTACACAAGTATATTTCAAATGAATTCCACTAATCAATCCCCTTACCTTGTCGAAAAGAAAGTGAACTATACAGCAAGAAAATATGTGATATCAATTTTCCAACACAATATACATGTATCTCTCGGTCAAATCTACCACAAAAGCCTTTAACAGCTTTTCTACCAATGATATTTCAAGCCACTAATAGAAAGACATATGGATTAGCACCTATAGACCCAAATATCTCAGGTCTACATGCATACTTAAGTAGAGTACATACATGGCACATGATACATGCGTCTTGCATACATCTTACATGCATCGGGGGCACAACAGAATGTACAGTTCACCGAACTAGAGCGAAATACTTTCTTGTTTTTTTTTAAAAAAAAACTTGGTACAAGCTTGAATACCTTTTGACTTGTATATGTCGTTATATGAATAAGTACCTACAACAAGGGAAAAGCCGGAAAAGAGGAGAGGGAGAGAGGGAGACTTGGAGTTGGCCTAGGCCTGCAAGTCCACGTTTGAAGGATGGTAAGAGATGTAATTAACCCAGAAGAAGTTCGGGAGGCGGGACCCCGACCCTGCATCATGCGATTTCTGGAGATATAATCTGTAAGTACGTTTGCATGTAAGTCAGTCAGTGAGTATTAGTATGTAGTATGTATGTAAGTACTGTCTGGGCGGGTTTAGCGGACTGCAAAGGAGGCCTCGGAGAATAAGTCTTGTTGGCTGTGCGGAGTATGTGGTGGACTGTCTGTATGTCCGAAAAACTTGGCTGCTGCACCGCACTGCATGCAACTCAGAAAGCCTTTCCAGAATACCACAAAGCACCTTCGCCTCCATATCCCAGTTCCAACTGAAAGACATATGTACGAAGCATGTATGAAGCATGTACTAATGTACGGCAAGACTTGCTTCTCGTCTCCCCAATCAAAGTTACCGCAATTAATTCTAAACGCCTTGAAGCTTGAAGCCTGGTTTTGGGAGAAGAAAAAAAAACCTGAAACTGCCAACACATAAAACCACTCTCGCCCTCGAATCCCGGTCCCATCGCAGTCGGGGTCTGGTCGCTTCCTATTGGTTTATTCCCCAGTCCCCTCTCACTAAACCAAAAATAGCTGCCCAATTGTGAGCTGTCCCTCCTCACGTGATGAGTCTGCTTTTGTCTTTGTACGTGGCTCCAGAAGCTTTTTTGAGGGGTAATGGAAGCTACATGCTACACAAACGAGGGTTTTTCTTTCTTTCTCGTGTCTGCCATGCTGGCTGTAGGTGTAATTATGTACCTGCACCCCAGATCTAAGATCTAAAGGTACTTACATACTTACATACTTACATTGGAAGCAAGGTGCTATGTTTGAATTCTGAAGGAACACGAAGTTAACAGTCATATGCGGTAAGGCGAACCGGTCTCGTGCACTGAGCGCGCGCGCACTGGTTGCCTATGGGAGAATCTAAGTGAGCGCAGTCCTCATCGAGGAAGGAACCCACCAGCCGAATTCCGAGTTCCTATCTAATGTACTCTGTAAGCTCCCCTTTCACATCACAGCGCTCGCAATCATGGATTAGTTAGGGAGAGCCATGGATGGAAGGCGAATCAGATAACTGAGGACCACGTCGACCACTCAATCTAGAAACCACGCCCCAAAAACTAATTCTCATCAGGAAAGGTCGCTCGGGAGAAAAAATACACATTAGAAGCTCCTCTCACTTTTTGATGGGATCAGTAAAAGGAAGGACAAACAAAGAGGACCCGCCGCCAACAGCCACGCCAACGGAGCGGGAGGCTGGCGAAACGGCCCACCCCGTTAGTTAATTCCGAGGAAGATCAATTTTGGATAGAGCCCTCATTAACTCTATGCGCTGTACTTACAAGACAAACTCCCGGCCGGCGGGGAGGGCTATGATACGTCGCAAGAGTCGTGCCTGATGTCGTGTGCTTTGACACTAGTTCGTTTGGAGCTCTAGCCCTCCCTCTGAGTCCATCCTCCCCTCCACACCACCCCTCACCCCTTGAGCTCTGAAGTGGTAGCATGTAGGTACGTACCTTTTTTTGGTTTTTCGCATTGAGAACGTGGATTTGCCATTCAATGCTAGATTGGGCGGGGACCACGGCCATGACATGGGTCTCCCGTTGGACTAGACGATGCGCTGTGTTACAGCACACTGCATTTTTTTCGATCTAGTATAGCGTTCCGCATCGAACAAGACATGATTGTGATCTGTCAAATGGCTTCGCTGGCCGGGTCCTGCGCTAGCCAGCTAAGCGGGCGGGCGGGCCAAACAGCTAGCTGGCTGGCTGGCTAGGCTGGACTGGTCTGAATGAGGAGTTTTCCAACCTCATGCATAGTGTCTATTCTAGGTGCAGCAGCATAATCGAATACTGATATCAAAAAAAACCTTTTTCGAAAGAAAAAAAATTCAAAGTCAGAAATGTGTATATAATCTCCTGGATCTCCAGCTTCAATCCCAATTCTTTCTCCTCCATCATCAGCATCACAAAGCAAAACATCCAAACAGCTTCCAAAACAACAAACAGATCTTCTGCGAAGAACTTCCTCCTCCTTTCAAACAATCCAAACAATTCAACTTTAGTTTTTTATAAACTACCCAAAACCCCAAATCAAAAATGTCTGCCCAATATCACTCCGGTTCCCAAGACGGTGTCAAGACCTACATCGACCGCAACGGTGATACCGTTCAGGAATCTAGCGGCCCAACTCCAATCTTCCGCGGTCTCGCTGCCGCCGGCGGTGAAGCTTTCATCTCCGACTCTGAGGAATCTTCTGGAGAAGAATACCACCAGCACGCACACGGTGTTCCATCCTTGCCAAAATCCGAGAAGAAGTCCAAGAAGGAAAAGAAGGATAAGAAGTCCAAGAAGTCCAAGAAGGAACGATCCGGATCTTCCTCCTCCGGCCATGGCTGCAACTGCAGCCACAGCCACTAAAAAAATCAACCAATATATAGAATAAAAAAAGGACTTTCTTCCTTGTCTTTTTAAGGGAAAAGACTCCCGAGGGTGGAACTGGGATTTGATATCTCTGCTTTCTTTTCCCTCAATACCAATTATTTCTCGATCTACAATTATTTGGGACTATTCTTGGAGCTTTTTTTACTTTTCTGCAAAGGAGTTGCCTCTTTTTTCTTTTCTCCCTCTTCTTCTTCACCATCCCGACCTTCTTTCCTTTAGACGACAGATTTTCAGGCAAAATAATTCTGGAATAATGGAGTTTTATTGGTTTGGAACGGGTCTCTAGATTCACAGTATAGAGACCCTTTGAAGAATCAATATCTCCTTATCTCAAAACAAAAAAAAACTTGAAAACCCCCTCCATTTTAAACAAATCTTCGAGACGTTCTTTTTTTTTGAAAGAAGAGAGTGCTATCCAGTACTCCTTCCTTTCTAAGAAATCCAACCCTCGGATATAAAATTCCACTCCTTTTTCTTCATCTTCGACCTCTTCTCTCTCTCTTATATATACACCTTTTTTTTTTTATAAACTACAAAAAACAGGATTTTTCGATTCACACAACGGGGAAACGGAACGGTGTTTTATTCGGCTTCTTTTTTATATTTCATTGGATGGATTTTGTTGGCTTTTGGCTTCTTTTTTTTGGAACAACGGGTTTCTTTCTTTTTTCTGTCTTTCTTTTAAACCTTCTTGCGACTTCAGATTGGAATCTTTTTAGAATGTCAAGCTTTATCGATCACCACTCGACAACCTCTCGTTTACAATTTAGTGTAACACCACAGATGTATACTTAGAGTAGAAAGAGCAAAAAACCTAGTCTAGAAACAGAAAGGGAGAAGAGAAAATAGAAAAAGAAGAAACGGAATAGACCGTTTTATTTTTCATAAAAAAAACACAATGATCCATTATTAAGAATACAGTAGCAGTGAAGTAAAAACGAATTGAATACCATGGCTAAGCATAAAGCAAAGTTTCTTAGTAACAGCAGAGGGGATTAAAAAAGTACAATAAGGGACAAGAAAAAGGAAAGATTTTTGGAATAAAAGGTTTTGATAAAGAAAACATTGGTGAGAGACAATCGAAAGTTGGCTCCTATGTGGGTGAAAAGAAAAGAAAAAAAATGTACGAATAAGAAACATAGAAAAATAAAACAATTGGCCTTTGGAAAAGGTCGTTCCACCACTTCTGCCGATTGCTAGACATGCATATGAGAAGTAAAGATAATAAGGAAAAGAAGGAAAGTATTTGAAACGCCAGACTGATCGTAAAACGTGAAGAAAATATGTAGGCAGTTTTGTTTGAGATATCCTTGAGAACGATACCTTTCCTGACGGCCGTTCTGTAGTTTTAAATAAGGGAGTGGAGCTTAGACGGAACCTTGAGTGTTATTGCTCTCACTAGGCCCTGATTCCGGATTCGCCTGTGGTCCACTCAGTTGAGAATTCACTCCAGCAAATATCCCTTCAACTCTTGCAACAGCTTCACGCATAGCATGCAGATCTCCCTCAATATCCATTAAATTCGGAACCGGAGGAGTTACCCCAGATCCAGATTCAACAACCGCACGAGTCGGACGGAAGTTACGTAGAACATTGGGAGGATTGATTCGAACAGGTCTTCCACTTGCACCCCGTCTATACGCCGCAGAGATAGTAGCAGGAGCAGGAACTGCAGAGAGGGTAGCAGGAGGAGGACGGTGATGACGAGCCTCAGCTTCTGCTGCTCGCAAAATACCCTCCATGGCATTAGCGAGGGGTTGGATATCGCCGTCTTGAACCCTAATCTCACGTGCGATCATGCTGAGGATGTCTGAAGGGCTCAAACCTTGTGATTGACCCTGAGAATGCCCCCCAAAAACACGGGGGACGCTGGCGAAGTATTCATCTGCATTGGCGTGTGAGGGAATTCTGATACCAAAGACCCTTTCCTCTATCGATTCTTCTTCGAGACCATCGGGATCTGATGGGTCACGATCTAAGATGAGCTCATCAGGATGAATAGCGAGATGTTCCAGGAGTCCTGATGGAAGTCTAGTGCTTGGAAGGGCAAAGAGACTAGAATGGGTGGATGCGGTGCTGTTACTCCGAGGAGCCCGGAGTGAACGAAGGTGTTGGCCGGGACGATAACGACCGCGACGTCCAGTTTCAGGATTGAAGTAATGACCGATTCCGATGTTGGTGATGTGATCACGGTCGCAGGCTCCATCGCTGTAATATGGCTTCTTGTTACAGAACCACTGGTTGCAGTTTCTCGGTTGACGTTGTTCTCCAGAACAATGAAGTGTGCATTTGCAGTTGGTGAATGTGCGTTCGAAGTGGCCGCAGCGGTATGTTTTGAGATCGTAACACATCTTGATATTTTCTTTCTTATGAGAAGAGAAAGGGAAAGTAGAAGGGCAGGATAAAGTTTGGATGTATGATGATTGACAGATAGAATAAAGGGTTTGATGATACAGAACGTCCAATTCCTAAGATGAGACGTCGATGGAATAAAGGACCACTACCACGACCACCTCGTTTGATTTGATTCGAGAACGCCGAAGAGAAATTCCAAGATAGAATCGATGTCTATCACCATCATTCATTACTCAGTTAGAATGATGCCAGATAGTAGGATATCATAAAACATCCGTGTATCACCACTAAACGACTGTAGGTCGTACTCACTCAAGATGGCTAAGTCAGCGTGTTTGCCCTAAAAGCAAAGTGGCCAGCCTGCTAATATTTGTGATTGGTATCGAAGGAATAGCCAAGAACTAGGATGATGGAGAGATAGAATAGGATAGAAGATGGGAGAATAGGGATAGACCTTCCTGGGTCAAGTAAAGATATGGGATGGTTTTTAGAGTACTGGGGAGGTGGGAGGTGGTTGAAGCTGAGAGGAAGGTTATCGTGAGCTAACAAAGGGCAAGTTTTGAGTTGTGTTTGTTGCATTTACGTTTTGATTCTGGGCTCCAACTTCAGCATAAAACAAGCAGATCTAGACCCGTGACAAGATCAAATATAGGCAGCATGGTAAACGTTAACTCGGGTTTACAATCTACGGCTCTGACGACTCAATCCAAGCGTACTAGAAGATAAGAAGTAATTTTGTCTATCATACAGAACGTGAAGGGTTCTCCAGTCGAAGGGAATAAAGGGAAAAAAGGGTGGAAACCAACAATCCAGCGACATCGCAATGATGAGAAGAGTAATAAAAGAAAAGAATCATGACACCAATACTATCAAAGAGACGAAAAGAAGAAGAAGAGCAAAATAAGGTTTCTTTTGGGTTATTCTTGTCGCATAGTCGTCGTCGTAGAGTATATGGGGAATCGCCCCTGCTTCATGGTATTTATTGGAATCCGAGTCTCGTCTCGACGTCTCTTAGTGCCAGCATCGGTTCGGAGTCTCTGAATCCTGAAGGTGATGCGGGTTGATCAGGGTAATCGTAATTCGTAGAAGTCGGAGTAAGAGTGCTCAAAACCGTATCGAGTAAGATAAGAGTAAGAAAGAAAGAAAAATAAAAAGTCCTCAATCATTCATTCGAGTGGTCGGCTCTCCTGACAGAGTAGCATTCGCAATCTCGATCGCACCCCCTCTTCTAACTGCTCCACCGATCCTCTACCCCCTATAATCGCCCTAGACCATATTATTTCGTTTAAACAATCATCTGCGCAATACCACCACCTCCCAAGGTCTTGCTGTTCATGAATTCCTGGTTCTTCAATCCAGCCAATCCATAGCAAGCACCAGCAAGCAACAGGATGACGGCAGCAGCGATCAAGCTAGTTGCATATCGGATCAAACTCGTCCATTGGATTATCGAAAGAACAAGATACACGGCGGCGCGCGTGTAGTTGGAGCTGAATTTTCGGACAAAGGTATCGAAGGCCTTGGAAGTTGGGCATATTCGGAGGAGCAGCGGGATTTCGAGGAAGATAAGGAACAGACCAGTCACTCTATATTATCATCAATTCCACCGAATGTGTTTGTTGCCTTGGTTAGCCTTATAAATACTTTATGAGTTGTAACGGCCAGCCCCGTTGAGGGAGCTTGGACGTGGTCTGGGTGTAGTAGCTACGTACAAGCAGATCACCGACCATAAGATGATAAGATCAAAGTGGAAGATGTTGGCGATTCCGAGAGCGATACATAGCAGGATAGCGAGGATACCCATCCTAAGGATCCGGTCATATTAGCATCACGGTTCTTCATGTCGCGGAATCAAATTCATGTGACAAAAGAAGGACGAGAAGACCTGAGGTCCCCTGCTTCGAGGGCGTCGAATATGAATCGTACCATTGTCCGTATATGCCTTTAAGGAACCAAGATTGTTAGCCACAGGAATATAACTACTCTCCTCCGGGAGTACCAGCCCTCTACGGCCGGCGCAACTGGGGTAACCAGAGGTACGTACTGAAGTTGCGCTGCTTAATCTCGTCCATAAAACCCATCTTGGCGGTAGTTTATCTTTCGGTTTCCCGTTTAAATTTCTCGTAAGGTTTAGGTTCTATTAGGATCGCGTCGGTCGGTATATGTCGGAGGAAAAGTATTCTGATTACAGCTACGAGTTCGGAGAAAGGATGAGAAGGAGATGTTTGCTTTGTTTTGGGGGGGTTTAGTAGGTGGTAGGTCTGGTATGGGATGGGAATGTCGGATGATGCAGGCTGGTTTGGGTTTCCGTGCAGTACAAGTGGTTTTGTGATGTGATGAGGACACGAATAAGCTAAAAAAAAAAGCTGGGAAGGCTGGCTGGCGGTTGCTTTGCTTCGAACGCCCGCTGATCGGATTCCCTCCAAAGTAACCTACTACTACGTCCAACGACAGGTAAGAAATTAAAATACCAGGCAAAATGGCCCTTGAAAGGTTACAAATATAGCAGCCCGCATCCGCATTACCTGTTAAGCTAACTAAGTTACGGAGGCATTTACAAGTAGGTATAAGCTTACCCGGCGCCCGAACAATCGAGGTGTTATTTTCTTTCGGACGGTGTGCTGAGAGGGCAGCTAGCTAAGCTTGGCTGAAAAGGGCATGACGACGAGCGTTACGCATACTCCGGGGCAGGGGCATCAAGGGCTTCAACTGCTTCAAGGCTTCAGAGAGCACCGGGTATTTTGATTTTTCTTAATTTAGTAGAAACACTGTGCAAACAATCTTCAAACAGCGCCAATTGAGAAGGAGGAACTGTATGTATAAGTATCGGGTATCACAGTCACATTTAATACATTTATTTGAAATCTTGACAGACCCATTTCTACCTTTTTACTCATGTCAGCTCATTTCATTGAAGAATCCGCCAAGCATGCGAGGTGTGCCAGCAGCCGGGTTCCGGAGAGCCTCATAAGCTCAGTGATCTCATCTTACAGGCGGGGTACGCTGAGTATCCCTAAAAAGTGGACCTGACTTGGGAAGCGGACGGTTTTATTAAATTCGTGAAAATAATATTTTCTATTCCACTACGAGAAGGTATTTTAATATCCCAAAGTAAAATACTAAACATATTACGTTATGTATACTTTCTGTTTTCAAAATGTGCTGCGTATAAACGTATGTCAACAGTCTCAACGACCCCAATTGCAAGGGGGCTTCATTGCCTAGAATTGAAAAACTGCGCCGCTGTGTTAGAGCCTTTTTGTAGAATAGAGATATGGATCAAGAAGTGCGGTCATAAAAAAAAAGGTACACGAATACATAGTATCGTCATAAATTACATTTCAGACTCCTAGGTTCATCTCCTCGGCCACAAGTCTTTATGCGACAAGGGTCCTCAACGAGCTGGGTTTATAATAATTCGTGCTTTAGAGCACTTTATCATCATTGTAAATAGAAAGGGAAGAGGGGAAATAGAGTGGCTATTTTAAAAAGGAGTTAGTACTTACTGTGAATGGTCATTACACTGAAGCGGGTGCTGTGATAACGCAGCTTGACATGGTTGTCATCCTAGAATAAATCTATTCCCATCGTTAGCAAGAGTCTTAAACCAGAGTACAAAAGACAATATGCATATTCGACATGAAAAGGAAATGAATAGTGAAGAATCAGACTGTCAGAAGTGTAATTTGTCTCAGCAATGGAGTTACAGACAATGTAGGTAAGTATTCAATATAGTGAATGTCATCATGTTCTTCGTCTGAAAGAAAGAAAGAAAGGGAAGAAATTTGATCAGCACTGGCGAAATCTGCCTACCTCTACAAATGGGGGCATCGGGGAGGCTTCGCAAGTCGTGTCTATAGAACGAATCCTACGAAGACATCCCCGTGCCAGGCCAATTTTCATGACAGACTCCCACGGCCTAGGACTTCCTGTGTAGGACATTCGCGGTGGTCATCCCACGGACGCCATCGTGGCCAATCGGTCGGTAGAATGGCATGTTAACCAATTGATCATTATATGTGATATATGTGATATTCGAATAGTCTACATGATTCTAGGAGCAAAGAGTGTTAGCTGATAACTGAACATGACCCAATTATGTCCCTCTAGCCACGCCGAATCAATTGATAGAAAGACACGTGGGAGGTAAGAGCAGTTGAACATAGTACTTACAACTTCTAAAACAAAAGAGATACTATGTATTCAGACACAGAAATCAATGATGGAATCGAGGGTAAAAGATGAAGTGCGGCGTGGTGGAATAGAATGGATGAATGAACGAATGCAACGGAAAGGAAAAAAAAGAAGCGCGCCATTTTAAACCCACAGAAAATTTAGCCAGTCAAGCCACATGCCAAGCCACAAGCCACAGAGCCATCTCATCCAACTGTGGCACAGGCCATCACGCCAACATGGCAACGCGGCAACACAACAACACAACAACAAACTAGCAGCCCCACCTTTGCTCACCCAATTTTAACCCCTCCCAACGTCCTCCCACTCCAACTCAAATCCTCTTCTCTCAGCTCTTTGTATCTTCAGATCCTCCTCGCATCCCGCCCGAACTTCTCACGACCTCAATCGCTCTCCGCCTAGAACACTCGTCCCTTATTTCCCAACCTTATACGTAATTCAAGATGTGTATGTATATACCTCGACCTTCCCAGGTTGCTTTGCGCGTGGCCTGCTCGGTATCTCGAAACCTAAGATTGATTCTAACTTCATATTGTTCCCTTACATAGCCGACTACTCAGCAGTTGCTGGTAAGTAGATTTTCCCTCAAGGTCTCAAAATTACATACTTCGAGCCGGTTCCTAACGCGGTGTCCGCAAAATAGAGCAATTCATCACATACTACTACAACACATTCGACAGCAACAGGCAAGGCCTTAGCGGTCTTTACGTATGAAATCCCACCTATTCGATGTTACCCCTCCAAGCATCCTCCCATTTGGAACAGATACTCTTTTTTGGAGCCTCGACTCGATTTGTATCAAATTTCGTGCGAATAAAGCTAATACGTTGACTAGCGACCTACCTCCCTCCTCACCTTCGAGAGCACTCAGACCCAAGGCTCTGCTGATATCACCGAGAAACTCGTCGTATGTACCAAATAACCCTTGACTACATTAATAATATTGCAGGCAGTCAAGTACAGCCCAACCTTACAGAATATTAACTTTTTTGTTACCAATCTTTGAATTACTTATAGAGCCTCCCATTCCAAAAAGTCGAACACCAGGTCGCCACCAAGGATGCACAGCCACTCCCCGGCGGCAGTGGCATCGTCGTCCTTGTCACTGGAGCCCTCAAAGTCGATGACTCTCCAGCACCGTTGAGCTTTGCCCAGACCTTCATTTTGCTACCAGAGGGAGGAAGTTATTTCGTCGCTCACGATATCTTCAAATTGGTTTACCCAGCTTAAACGAATTTTCGACAACTTCTATTTTTCTACCTCTCTCTCTCTCTCTCTCTTTCTCATTTGCTAGAAGCAACTACCTGGAGGCTGTTTGAATTTACTCTGTTAGAATGGGGTAAAAGGACGATGGGAAGATCTTAATTTTTTTTCTTTTTTTTTTCTTGGAAGGGAATTGTGGCATTATTTCTATTTCTTCTTCTTCCTTTTGATATCTGAGCGAAGAGATGCTATAGGTCTTTTTATTATTATTAACTTTAGCAAAGTAATCCACATTTGCTTCCCCATCCAATTGACCTTTTTATATTGGTGTGATCAAAGAAGAAGAAAAAAACCCGCCGGGTTTTTTTTTTACATTTAGTAGAGCTTATCTCGTAGAGTTGGCCCTGACTTGAAGGATATATGTAAAACAAATAATATATTCTTCGTACGATGAATTCGTTTTGGTGTGTTCAGCACCCGTCTAACAACTAGACCAGTGCGATGAGCATTTTCGAATCCGCTCCCCACAACCTAGAGAGCTTTTGAAGAACCTTTGAGTCGATCTTAAATTAAGGTAGCTATCACAGGTTATACCTCCGCCTCGAGCGCCTGGATTCGAGGCTAAGGTTATACAACGTTTAAGGTTTGATCGGTATGCATGTGCAAGCGTTAACGCTTGACTCTAAGACTACACAAGATCGTGCATTTTGAGGAAAAAAAAAACTCCGAAGTTCTCCGACGACACCCTGTCAAGATCATCTTTTCTCTTGATATCATGATTTCCATTCTAGATCCTCTTCTAGGGTGGTACACGGTATTCGGCTCTTAAGTTTCAAAAAAAAAAGATATACTACACCACAGTTTCGTCACCCTGTTAACGTTAACCCCCCATGCTCCATCGACTCGGCTTGTGATAATCCGGTCTTTGTTTTTAAAAACTGCTTACCTACCTACCTAGCTATCTACTAAACTAAAAGGCTTGTGAAAGATAAAGATCCTAATTCTTTTTTCTTTTATAAATCTGAAAAAATCCTTGCCATTCATTAACCGTGAACCTTCTAGTTTCGTACTATAACACCAACTAGCCGGGTAGATTACGTCTACACCCTGACCATACTGAAACTGACTTCCATGCATGTCTTCACTAAGTGGTCATAAGTCAATCAACGTGGGGGGGTAACTAACTTCTGTACATACCACGTAGCTAATAGCTCTAGATCTATAAGTAAATACCTAGGCAAGTGTTCCCATCTATCAGCCTACAGTAGGATCCCGAAATCACATCCTCAAAAAAAAAACGCATGTGCGTATATATACCATAGGATAGTATTAATACAATACATTGATGCTTAATAAATATCAAACCACCCCAAATATAATTAATAATGAACGGAATATGTATCCCAAGAATGAATATGAATATAAATATAAATTTTAGTATGAATATGAATATGAATATGAATTGTGCATGAGTAGACCCTTTTTTTCCCTTAACCCCGCCAGCCCCCAGCCATTCTATTAATTCTATAATAACCTATGATGGAGAAGTAACTGTAAAGAAAAAAAAGAAGGGAAATAGGAATGCAATGTCCGCCCTGCTTTCAAAAGTTTTTGAGCCAATCCGGGCTCTGTAATACAGGGTAAGAAGGGGAGTGAAGAATTCTCTCCCAAAAAAAAGAGGTAATTTTGAAACTACAAGCTATCCAACAAGATCTGAGCGGACTGCCTTTTTGTAGTCAAGAAAATAAGTATGAAAGTTAAGAAATAAAGAAAAGAAAGAAAAGGTAAAGAAGAAGAAACGCCGAATCCCAATGTCCGAAAGTATGGTAAAAGGAAATGGAAGAAGGCAACGAAAAAAAAGAGGACAATGCTCGCTAGCGCTCAACGTTACAATCGAAGAAAAGGAGATAGAGAACCCAACAAATGAAAAAATGGTGGTCATTAATATTTGCTTCCCTTATCCTTGGAAAGGCTGAACAAATGAAAGTGGTATGGAGGTGTCGTTAATAAAGAAGAAAAGGAATGTTGCTGGAATTTTGTTGTTGGGTATTTGATGAGTATGAAAATATGACATGTTGTAGCTCCAAGGCTTTTTCTTCGAGGGGTATATAAGATGACGAAGTATTATGCTGATGCGATTGTTTTTCTGGTAACACCAAGGTGTGAGTGAGTTATTGTAACTCGGGATGGCCAGCCACCATTGTTACTCGCTTGTACGAATTGATTTCTACGGATTCTGAAATAGTAGAGCTTGTCTTGCTCATGAGATCTTCGAAAGTAGCGATTGGAGGCATTAAGATAATGCCGCCAGGTGTTGGAGAGGCGGTTCGGCGGCCGCTTTCGGTCGAGCTTGATGCCGCAGCTTCATCAGGAAGTCTCGGGAGGGGTTTCTATGAACAACAATTAATATTTATACTCGTATGCTTTGATGATGGGTAAAGTTGAAACTTACGTTATCAAACGGGGTGCTTTGTCGGACGAACCCGCCGTAAGAACTAGCACGCGATCCGCTGGATCGAACTGTTCCTGCCCGGCTTCCTGTGCTGGAGTGTTTTGTATTGTAGTAAGAATCGATTGTGGCATTCGCTGATCCCGATCTCGAAGTCGAAGATGGGGTCGGTGCAGCGGACCTGCGAGCAGACAAGCTCGGGGAGCTGAGTGCTCCTGCACCCATAGACTTGCTCCTCTTGGGAGTGGCTGTAGTTGAGCGTGTGTTTTGGTGTCTATCCGAGCTTGGAGTTCTCTGTGGAGCCCTCTGAGACTTTGAACTATGAAGCGATTTACCGCTAGCTTCAGATCGATGAGAAGACCTAGCAGATGGTTGCTCCCGCCGTTGTTCTTCCTCTACTTTTCGGGAAGCGACAGCTTTATAGACTACACTTCTTACAAGCCTTTCATCCAGAAGCTTGTATTGTGAGTTGAAGCCTGTGTCATCTTGAGAGTCTCGCCTTGGGACTGGAGGGGCAGAACTTTCGTAGTAAATTGATGACGTCTTAGTGGCTGCTGCGGAACTTGGAGGGCGGAATTTATTTTTTGGTTGAAGAGAGAATTCTTCGATAATCGGGGAGCTGAAAATAGTAATGGAATCGGTCTTCTCGGGACGCTCCAAGATGGTTAATTTTGTGTTATCCCTCGACCTGGGAGAAGGAGTAGACGAGACTGGAGCGATGCCGGTTGTCACAATCGGAGCCTTTGGGTCCGATGCAAGTCGAGCTGCAACTATAATTGAATCTCGGTTCTTGTCGTCACCGAAGCATGTAGAACAATCGCTTCCGGACTTAGCAATGTGTCGTCGTACATGCTGAGCTGGTGGCGGAATAGAGCGTCTCTTTTTTTGTCTCTTGGAAGCTAACCTCATGATGTTTCCAGCTGAAAATTTAGGCTTGAGAGGCTCCCGTGGTTCTCTTGCCATCGAAAGTGGTCGGCCGGTAGCAGTTGTGGTCGCTGGTGCCTGCATAATAACACTCGATCGCTTGCTCTTCACCCTTCTCTTCTGGCTTAGTTTTCTTGAAGTTTTCCTTTCCACTGCAGAAATGTGCGTAACAGTTCCAATTGTCGGTATTGGCTCTACTGGAGTCGTTTGGTTTGAGCTCGAACTTGATGTCGGGCTCACAATGCTAATCACATTCAGGACGGTATTCCATAATGTGCCTCTCCTCTTCCTCTTAGCCGGTTTCTCCTTCACCGGCTCCTCTGGTGTAAAATTCCGACCGTCGAACAAATTTGGAGTGTCGAACCCAGAATTCGCATGTCGGTTAATAAATTTCGCTTTCTGTTCCTTATACCCGCCTGATGTCGGCCCCGATATAGGACCCGATATATCATTCCTTGTCCCATCCCTCGACTTCGGTGTCACTCGCGCTGTCATCGAGCCGGATGTTGCCGGTCTCGGTGATACTTGTTGACTGGGACTAGGGCCGGTATCCTCTGATCTTGTATGAACAACAATACAGCAATCCTCACACACAATGTGAATCCAGTTCTCCGCTGTTATAGCTTCTTCTGTTGTGTGCAGGGTGATCGTTGGCGGAATATCCAAAGAACAAAATGTCGGTCCAAATAGGCGTTGAAGCATTAATATTAAACCCTACAATTTCGATTAAATCTCGTGTTAATTTCGGGAAAAAATATTTTCACAATTGGAGATTTTAACCCCGGATGTTGGAAGCTGTTACTGACCTCCCAGGTTTGAACTTTCTCCAATGACACAACGTAAGGACTATAATAAGGTGCCACTAATATCTTCATCCTAGCTGATGAAGGGTCGGCGGGACTGCTGAATGTAGATTCTCTCGATGGAGATAAAGGTTTGAAGCCCATCAAAGGGCTTGTTTCTGCCGACATGATTGTATATATGCCGGATCAGGCGGTAAGCTGTATATAACCCGCCGTCGCCAAATGTCGTTGTAAATTGGGAGTGTTAAAAGGTAAGTAGTTAGGTAGCAATAACTTGAAAGAAGAAGCAATGATAGATAAAATGAACCACAATGCCAAATAGCTTTTTGCTCAGAGGAGAAGGTATACGCCAAAATGGTTGAGGCTAGTAAAGAAGGGAAAAGGTGGTTCAGAAAAAACCCTAGGTATTATCTAGTGGGTAGCCCGTCAGAGGTTAACTTGATGCAGGAAACCGTAAATGGCGACCAAGCGAGCATCCGTGTGGGAGATTGTGTTTCTCGTGCGACATCAAATAAAATAATTTCAATAGTAGTGCACCAGCGATAGTAATATCATAATATTATAAGCTGGGGCCAAGTGTATGGGTTTGTGCGTGTTTCTTGTGCAATAGGCCGCCCTTGTCTGGTGCTTCCGCTGCTGCTTCTTTCGGGTGGTGGTGCAAGTGTACGCGGACGGGGACTGCTTCCCATATGTCGCAGGTCCAGTTCCAGGAAAATGGGAATTCGAATTGTTTGACGGTGACTTGTTTCAGGATTGGCCTTGCGGTTCCGTCATATTTTATGCGAGAGCTCTTCTCCAGTTTCCGGCCCGATGTCCTTTTGTGATATGAAGGTAGGTGATGGTGATGTTGGGAACGGGAAGGAGCAACTGCAATTGATTGAACTGGAAGGGATTAATTTCAAGTCGGATGAATGCGGTTGGCCAAATGCAACTGGCGGTTGGATGGGGGTTTCTGTGTTGGAGATGTAGTCGACGGCGGACTTAGGCGTTGGTGGCTGCTCGTAGTTTGAAAGAAAAAAAAACCTGGAATATGGTCGATATCAAGCCACTTTCAATGCTGCCAGCACATAGCCTGAGGAGAAACGGATAATTAAAAATATCGGGATATCGATATCGCTAGCTATTGCCGCCGTTCTTGCGGTCTATACCTTAAGGAGATTAGGATCCGGAATGTCGAAAAGAAAACTCTGTCACCACAACCGCTTTATCGATTTCGAATATTTCTTTTCGTCCCAAGAATTCACCAAAGGATAACGGGGATTATCGAATGCAGTATCTTATGCAGATGATCCGATACGGATCCAAGGCGGCAGCCTTCTAGTCTGCAACCGGCCGCAATTCAGGGACGGATCGATTGGAATTTTGTGTTAATGGAGGAAGTTAGCAGGAGAGCTTGCACCTGCTCTAGAACGTTTAAAAGGCAAGTATCGAAGAATTTCTAGGCTTCAAGCCTGTTTGAGGATGGTTGACGACTGATAAATGAAGATGATAGGCGAACAATTAAGAAAAAAACCCGAATGCCTATATCAAATGGTCGAACTGGTTTATGTCGGACTAAAAACTTGGCTCAAAAATGCTTATGCACGCATGACCACAAATGCAATATTATGGAAGGGATAAAAGGCTGAAGAAGGTCGTCGAGATGTTGGAGTATCTTTGTACAGTACAAAGCACACGAGTAACGGGTACTTTCCTGGGAACCAACAAAAATCCTATATGGTACCGAACCCTGGCCTGTCTTGGTTGCCCGAAATGGTGCCTGCCAGCACAAACGTCAGGGAGCCGACCTGAAATAGATTGAAGTGAACGGGAACGAATGGAAGAGAAGGAAAGGATAGACAGGAAAATCCGATCGGACGTCGAAAGAGAGCTGGTCTCGAAAAAGAATAATAACAAGAGTTCCTCAAAAATCCTACACAAATGAGGACCAAAAGAAAGATTTCACGACCAGTGAAGAACAGACCCACAAGAAAGTGCACATGTGCCAGTGGCCAGCGAGGTGTTGAGGGTTTATGCAGTGGGGATGGGCTTGTTTGAGGATGATTCCTTTTTCGAGTAATCGTCCAGAATGGGATTTAGCGTGGATGATGCTTGTGCGTGCTGCCGCTGAACCCCAGTTTTCCCGTTGGTGCTTCGATGGATTGGTTGGTTCAGCATGAGTGCCCTTTGGCTCGAAAATCGAAATTGCAAGTGCTGCCAAACCACGGTGATCCAAAACCTTTGATTGATATTGATATCCACACTCAGAAGAAGTTCAGAAGCACGACCATAATTAGCATGGGTCGGGGAACCCCATGCAACGACGAACCACGTCAGCGAAAGCAGCGCCCGGCTGTGATCTATCCTGCAGAAGGTTAAACGATGGACTTGCAAGGGAACGGGACGCAGGGATATCACGGCTTTCGAGCAATCTAAACCAGGCCCAGTCGGTAATAGAAGCCGAGTGGAACGGGGAAGCTTGCGGTATCCCACAGTATTATCTTTTTTTTGTCAGTTGATCATGACGAACAAATAACTCGCAATGATGCCTGTCAATGTTCCCGTCGCCGACAAGCTGAAGACGGCGCGACTATCTTCTGCTAGGGTTCACAGAATCCGCTGATTTGATTTGATGGTTCGAAAAACAAGCTCCAAAGGGGGAGGATTGCAAGTGGATCGGATGGGAGTTCAAGATCGAAAAGGACGACTATCAGTTCTGGACCTCTCAAATTTCAAACATGGAACGAGCTGCTAGTGCTGTTCTATATATTCCCAACTTCCAGCGTCTGCAATGATTAGCCAGACGCCTTGCATCGGCTCACTCTCGCCCTTACCGATTGACCAATCTCACCCGTCATTGGGTTTCTCGAAACTATCCCACCTTTGATGCAATTACACTGCCCAGCTTCTGACATGTTTGAAAAGAATACCGGTAGACCTCGGACGGGCAAAAAAAAAAAAAAGCCTGATCAGATATGAAGCCTTTGATACCTCAAAAGCTTTAGCCATAACATAACAATTAACAACAGCCAATATTGTGTGTGTGGGAATTACACACCAACGAAGCAAGATGTTACGAGCTGCAGTGTTCACACGCTAAGGTAGGGGTGGGTAAGCAAAGGCAGCCGGCAGCCACATGCAGAGCACGCGCAAGGGTAATAGTTTAGCGTCGGTTTTCTAGCGCACATTTACCAGGTCGCGAGAGTAAGTTTACAAGTATCTGTGTATGCTCACGCAGTCCAGGGATAACCTCTGTAGGCGGGTCGATATATGAAGCCCGATATAAATATCCTCGGCCGGCAAATTCCAAGGAATGTTCCATAAGAAGGGTCAAGGCTTCAAAGGCTAACAGCCGCCTGGTATTCAGCTAAATAAAGTATCATCTCAGGCTGAAATCAGCATCACGGTTTCGTTGGTCAGGCTTCATATCTGCCTATGTATGCGAGAGTCAGAATTAATTGAGCCTCCGGTTTCGCCTTCTCGAGTTCTCCTGTCGCCAGTAAATTCGAACCCAAAAACAAAACCAAAAAAAATGAAATAAAACGAAAAGGAAGAAAGGAAGAATACAACTCCTTTAGATTTGCCATGGGAGCCTTTAACTTCCGATTCAGCAACCAGGATGTAGGGGAGAATTAAAGGTTGCTTGAAAGGTTGGTTCACCTTGCGTTTAAGCGACGCCTTATTCGCAGCCACCAAAAAGCTCCTTCTTCTGCGGACCCACTCCCGTATGACGAAAACAGGGGGAGAAGCAGCCCAAAAGGTCGCAAGCTCAGGGGTTGGAAAAAACGTCCGGTACAGAATAACTGCGTTGGCTCTTCGTTTTTTTGATCTTGAAGCCTGGAGCTTGAGCGAGTTTCAAGCGGTTTCAGGGCAGTCAAGGCTTCATTGCTTGTTTTGCTGCTCTTCTTTCGCACCATTGCGACCTCACATGATTTGCTCCTTATAATCCAAAAATTCCCCCCACAAACATCTCCGACTGACTCGAGCCGCAAAGGGGAGCTCTCAATAATAAACACGGAGCGATATCAAGAATTGATTGTGGAGCATCGTCGGTTTGAAAGACCATCTATCGTCTCGATGTCACCAGACCAAGCTACTTCAAGAAAGTACACCGGAGAAACGTATCTCCCTTTCCACAAAAGTCACATTGACACCCCTCACCCCGGTTAGTAAAGGCGTGAGTAAGCAACTTTCAGAATCCACATCGCGTGCGCCGTTACAAAGGAGTTATTCCAGCAACCTTCCGGTAAAATCCAACAGAGCTATATCCTCACAGAACTATTATAATAACTATCCCCAACATCACCAACTTGAGTCAAAACAAATATTAATTGACTAGAGACAGATCCGTTTCTGGTTATTCTACAACCCCCCTCATTTTATTCCTTCGTCTCAACAAAGCCCCACAAAGCCATCGCATCCCATGCACATGACATCGAGCTGAGAAGCACTAGCTACATGTAAGTCTAGTATCTGTCGAGTTTATCAAACAAACACCTGTCGAAGTATACATACATGCGCAAGCATAATCGATATCAAGAAATCTGACATACATGCACATATATGCATCCAGCTCCATTCCTTCCCACTTTCCCCATTTATGCAAAAGGTATGCACAGAACGTCCCTTCACCCCATGCTGCCTAAAGATGTAACAGAAAATCTGCAAAACGGCATTGCCGCTCTACGGCATTGAGTTCTCGGTGCTGCAATGGGACGGGACAGATAGAGGAGCAAAATAGAAGGTAGGAATGTGTGATCTTTTTCAGAAAAACTAAAAGTGGATCATGCGGTCACTTGTACTGCACTGTGGACCAATGTTTCTATAATATCATTCTGATATCATAACATCGCCAACCAACCGAATTATCAAACTTCAAACCCTTCAAAAAAAAAAAAAAAAAGAAAGAGAGAAACCAACCTCCTCTTCCTTCCCAACAGAGAAGAAAACCCAGTAGTTCACCAAAACAGAAGAGAAATCTCACTGGGGGACCCATATCAATCCACATGGACTTTTCGTAATCTTTGGAACTTCGTAAAACGCTACCCGTGACAGAAACGACCAATGGGTCCAGACTCTTTGGCCGTTCGTATTCGCTAATTAGGATATACTAGAGGATATCACTAATTATACACCACCAGCCCCGCGTAACTTTTCTTGATTTCCTTTCTAAAACAATCCGTCGGTTGTCCCCTTTCTTTGGGATCTCCAGAAACGTTGCAATATGTTTCTCGCCTATACCTTTTGTCACTCGCGTGCGGGGTCTCTGCGAAAGCGAATACTCAATTATATACTTACTGACTTAACTAACGAATCATTGATCATGGATTGAGAACTCAACGGAAATTCTTAGCTTTCAAATTCGCTGTTTTCGTCAGAGCTTCAGACGGAATTATCCGTAACTACCGTTATTATATAGAAACACCCTAGAGCTTAAAGACCTTTAACCGAGAAACATGTCAAGCTAAGGAAAATAATATAATTAATATTCGCGATTATCCTCCATTCGTAGCTGCTCCTTCAACCGTAAGACGGTCCGCCATAGCCGTTTATTCTGCTAGAATTAATTAATTAATTAATTTCTAAAGAAAGGTTTATTATTACTATTTACTTATGTTCATTTATTTTACCTACTCTTGGAGATTTGATTTATAGGAAGTGAATCACAGGAAGCTTTTGTGGAACATGAACGCAGCAGGATGGAGGCGCACTGCATTGCAGTAACTTCGCATTCCATCACAAGCCGGATCCTTTGATGTTTGATATCGGATTATCGATAAACTTTCTCGTACAACTACTTGTTTTTTCCCTTGGCATCTGATCAAGCTCGTATCTCAATTGACAGGGTATGTTATTCGAGATAGCCCGTCCGATAGCTAAGAGAGCAGGGACAGCAAAAAACACTGCGACCTCTTGAATGCGCGATCGATTGCATGTTATATTGCTATATATGGATATTCCATCAACGTTCATATTGAACGTTTACAAGCCTTTGAAACTATCGAATTACACGACGTATTCGTATATAAGTCTGTATGTACATGAGATTGGGTTTTCATGCGAGGCCCGGTTTTTTGGTTAAATTATAATTTAAGCTTGAGTTGAGGTTTCTCGTTCATGTACTCTGTAATGTATGCTTGCTTGCGAACTGCAGTGCACAGCTGTACCTATTCCTTCCACATCTACCCCGCAATTTTAACAAACCTCTCCACCGCGGTTTTGAAATCTGTACTAACGGGACGATCGTTTAAGCCGAGATGGGAGGGGAGGAGGAGGAATAGTGAGATAAGCTAGTAGTTAAAAAAAGCTAAAAAAAAACAACCAAACAGATTTTTGAGGTTTGTACGACGGCTGGTAGATCTGTGAACCAAGTTTAGAAACCTTCTTTCTTCGTTATTACTTATTCTATTTTTTTTTTTGGCTGGGCCGCGCCGGCTGGTGGGTTGCATATCGCGCAAGAGGAGGAGATGCATACGGGCTTCAACGAATTACATGTCGAAGTCTCTTACACTCTTTACAACCTGTCCGAGGGGACTCTTTTTCCAAACAAACCACCCCTCAAAGAAAATACTCAGGTATCTTACCATGGAAATGGGTAATCGATCCCTCGGCTTTTTTTTCCACTATCAAATGGAACGTCTAGAAACCAACGGTGTAGAATCTACGGTTGACGGTCTACAAACCCAAGGTAACTCATCCTCCTGTCACACGTACCAGTTACAGCTTACGCTTGTATCACCCTTCTCTCTTCCCGCAATGCACGAATGATAACTAACCCCTCCCCTGCCCGCCTCCCCTTCCTTCCCAAAAAACTGAATCGAGCAACCAACCAACCAACCAACGTTACCGTCCCATGGAACCAGCTGATGCCATCTACATACATACGTAACTGCAAGGTAAGTTTTCTCGACCCGTAACCCAGAGAGTAGGGTACATTGCTCCGAACAGACTCAATGCATCTATCTACTACGTAGTATGTAGATAGTACACAAGCAAGGTCGCACAGACCAATTTTCCCAACCCCCCGGGCGAGCGCCCCGCCACGAAGGGGGAAGGCCGTTGAGCTTGAGCTTGTGTTTCAAATACTGTGTGAGACGTTTATAGTAAATGTTCTACAAAGTACTATAGTATTTCAGTACTTATTTACCTACTCCTCGGTCTTCGGTATGAAAAAACATATACGAGGTAGAATAACGTTATCGGTTGAAGCCGAGATGACTTGCCGAATTAACACCTTTAATCTTTCGGCTTCTTGG